CTATTCACAAATACACACACCCATCAAATATGTAAACTACAAATATAATATAATAAAGTATCGTACACATTAGCGATCGCCTTTTACAATTCATAATTAGTATAATATTATATAAGTTATAAAATATAATATATTTATTGTAACCTACGCACAATATGTGTGTTACGCAATGTTTTACATTATATTCTAACAATAGGTCTCATCAACGGATCAAATACCTCTGACAAAATGCGACCTATAATTATTTCGCATCGTCGTGAGTCTTACTCTTCTTATTCTAAACGAGGTTAACTTGTAAATTAAGCAATATCAATCATCTACTGACACTCCTTTGTTATGATCGATGGGTACTACTGGAAGCATGCCAGAATATGATCACAGTAATTCAAAAAAAAAAAATGTAGATACCTATATTTTTATTTTATTTTCAGTTTACGAACACGTCTATTTCAAAAATCTAAGCTCCATTACATACGTATTAAACTTCGAAAAATAATCTCTACAAAATGACCCCAAGATAAAATATCATAATATCATATATCTACGAAAATAAAAAAACACTTCAAGAATCCATCGATGGTACATTAAAGTTTATTCACTACCCAAAAATGTGTCCATACAAAAATCACTTTTAAAAAACAAAATATATGCCATACCAGACTCTGAATCTAAAATAGAAAAAGATAGGAAAGATAAAAAAAAATTATAAACAATACGTATTGCCTTCCAGACATCTAATAAAAGTATGATAAATATTTTTTTACTAGATGAAAATAACTCGGCTATTTTATCTGCAATCTTTCATTGCCTGAAGTAATAATTCTAGAAACTTCAATAAAATTATAGAAAGTCATATTACACACAATATTTGCATTTATTTTAAATATATTAAACTGCCTCTATGTATAGAATAGTGTGGTTGCATTGTTACTGACTTAAAGTCTTAATTAATTCTTAATACACGACATTGTTTACCACTACTATGGGTACTTAAGTATTACTCAAAATAAGACGTTATTCACAAAAACATGATTGATAAATAAAAAGTTATTTATAATTTTTTTTTAAATTAAAAATATTTCCATTAACATAAACAAAGTCAACTACCTATACATTATTGAATACGATACTATTCAGTTGAAAGCTTAAACTTGATGATATTGTTTTAACAGTGACTACAAGTACTAAGTACATCAAAAAATGTTAAATATTAAATTTTGTTCCTAAATTACTTATTATAATAGTATCTAAGTAAATGGTTGCATACAATTATTTATTAGGACATTTTTAGCCATGCGATGAAAATAAATAATTTGATGTAAACATTACAACAATAACCAGGGCAACCCTAAACGCGACATGCCCACTTAATAATTATGTATGAAAAAAAAACAATTGTAAATGTCAACAGATTGTCCAAAGAAAAATGTTCTCCGTATCTGTATTGAATATTATACCGTTTTTGACTTGCCGCGTTATTTCCTTTTCAATAACTTTAGACGAAAGTCCACTGAATAACGAAGACTTTCAATCATTGCAGAATCACACGGACTACCTAGAAACATTGATAGTTGACGAGCATGCTATTACTGTAAATACAATCCGAATACTATTGTTTTTTGGATACGTAATGTTGTTGTTCGTCATAATTTACGTTTGTCAAAAGACTCACAAGAATCGGTCAAGTGTATGTATAAGTAGCTTATACAAGAACACCAACACAGTTACATGGTGAACCACAATTTACATACGTTATAAAATATATAACGTATAATACCTATAGATTTGATAGATTTGTAATAAATTAACGTATGTAAAAAAAAAGAAAAAAATGTTAATATTTGTGACACTATTTTAATCGATCGATTATATTAATATTATAGCTAATAATTTTTACGAAACGTGTGCTTTATGCCTATATAGATACCTACATAAAATGCTTGACATATTTTTTTTGCCACGTAACAAAACACAGATCATATTTCTTTATTCAAATTATTTATTTTTCAATCTAAATGGCAAATAGCCGAGGACTTAGCAACCTAGATTACAATATTAATTAAGGTACCGCATATAATAGGTTTCATGTCATGATAATAATACGTATATGACATATCTACCTCTAGATTGATTAATTTCTAGACAAATGCATAATTTGTTCACAGAACTCTGAGCTGTTTCCTCGCATTGATAATAATACATAACACTCGTATAAGCTACTGGTCCACACTGTATAGTGACTTGTTTATAAAACATCATATTCCAGTAGAGTACACAATTTTGTTTCGAAATAAGTGTGCATATACCTACATAAAACAAGTTGCGTGCCTCTTATGGAGTTACAGAGAGACGTAACTATTATTTATGTTAACTGATCCTTGAAATTAAATATTTATACGATCACTTCAAGTCATTAAATATTAGCATACAATAATCGACAAAACAACTTTAGGCTTACGTATTTCAAAAATTATACCTCAAGTCGTTATTTTTACCACATTACTATAGGTCCAACTACAAATAGTCAAAGTGTTTTCAACACGTATCTATATGTAAGTAAATTACAATATTATATACATTTATGATTAAAATGCAACGAAATAGATATTTTATGATCATAATATCAGTATAATATTCAACAGCACACCCCTCTGAAATTTAGTCAGCATTACACGTGTGCAACATGTGTTGCGGAACTACTACTGTCTGTGGCGCTACGGCTACGCATTAATTTACTTTGAACGAACATTTTAATCAAATGACTATAATATAGTACATATTGTACATTAAAAAAATTGTATAAAAGCATAGAAGAGAAGTGTCGGTTCATAAAAATAAAATAAATTTATTAAAATACAACTGCTTAGTTTGGTTAGCTCGTAATATTATTTTGTAGAAAACAACAGAAACGAGAGCTAGTCGAGGCAACCGCCCAAAAGTAAGTATAATATGCGTGCTGTATGTAATTACGCGGTTCCATGTTCACACCTATGTAGCCATGGATCATTAAAAACATTACACTATACACTATTATTTACAAGCCGGTTGTCGATCAACCGTTTACTAAAGCATTTTAAAAGTATTTCTCTCATCATTTACTATCAATAATAGACATTAATTTTATTTTGATCTCATTGCAAAGCACCACTATCGTAAAAACCATAAACGATGAAAACCAATCCAGTTTTTTTCAAGTATTCAATGACCTCATAATATTTATTTAATAAAATAATACAAGTATTTGATCAACAGGTTTACTAAACTAAAACTCAAAACTCAAGTATGATTAAGTTTATAGCTTAATGATTTATTGAAATCTATAATAAACCGTAAAAAAAATCTTCCAAAATTATTAATATTTTTATAGCTATGCTTTTATTTTGTGAACCACTCAAGTAAGTCAGTAGTTCCAAGCATGTGAATACTTAAAATACATATTTACTGAATATTTTATGATTTGGTTTATAGTTTCAATACCTATATAGGCTATAGGTACTCACGACATACAGTTTATTATAAAAGCATATACATAAAGTAAAAACATTAAATAATTGAACAGCTTATAAAAACATTTTTTCTCAAATTTCCATAGTAGGTATACGTAATTATTATTTTATAAAGAATCCAATTCACGAATAATAGTTAAGAGATTTTAAATATTATAAAAAAAAACCACGGTGAAATTGTATACAAAAATATGTCTACAAGTAACCAATAATACTATGTATTCTTATTTCTCTAGAACATTATATGTAAAACATTAGAAATTTAAACTATAAACAATATGAAAATAACTCAGTCATGCGCAAAAGCTTTTGTGGTCCACGACTGAGACATAATCAGAACTAATCTGATGATTGTAGGCGGTACCAGGGTAATTAGTTGCTCAGTCATCGTCTATAAATTAAATGATTCCCAGCACGTTCTCTGGGGTGAAAAGGTGTTTCATATCCCGGAGGGAAAATATTATACTAGACACCTTATTTTCCTAAGTAATATAATAACATAATAATATCTAAAACACCGCCGCTCAAGATGGTACATACTACACACATTAATGTGGGTACAATCCGTTAAATATAGTCTACAAACGATTTAGAAAATACCGACTATATAGCTTATAATACGCTTCACGACTCACGATTAGTACAATAATATTCTGGTTAATTAATGATCTCAGAAAAATATGACAGTCTTACTAATCACTGAAAATTGAGTGTTTAGTTAATTTTTATGACGGCTTAATAAAAAATATTCTAAGTATACAGTACCGTGGTATCCTACAGATTGGTAATTACTTTATAGTTTAAAGTATGAAACCTAAATTATCTTTCTAGTTTCTACTGATTAACTCATAACAACTATATAGCTGAAACAACAAATTATAGATATGTACCTACCTTAATATCAAAGTAATAAATGTATTTTATGAATTAAATTAATATTGTACTTCAAATGTACAGCTAAAATTATAACTTAATTATAAAAAACTCTGAACTCCAACCTAGAATATTGCCATATTGGTGATTCATGCAATTGGTATAAGTATAATTAATGATATTCATCAGGTACCTACTGAAATAATAATTTTAAAAAGTGTACATACTTTTTTTATTATAATTAGAAGCTAATTATCTATTGACTTTTTCTACCCAAGCTTATTTCCAACTCCTTTGATTCGCTCCTTTCTCGTTAGGATCCGAGTTCCTAGACGTTTTACTAGAAGCACTACTATTTCAGTAGTATTCCTCTAAATCCACTTCCAACTATCTTTCTAATTCTTCCATTATCCGTTTATTAGGATTTAACAATAAGTAAAATTGTTTTTATATAGAACAAACTGTCATTCTTGCCATTCTTCCGTATTTTAATTTTTATTGTTACCGTCTTACTTTATAAAATCATGTCACTGCTATTAATGTGAACAAATTTTATCTCTTGCTATTGCTTTTTTTTCTGCAATAAACTATTATCCAACAAATAAATCAATATCTACTCACCTTACACTGCCCTTCCACACATATGAAAGGTCTTGAATTGTCTGTTCCATTGCAAGATGTGCCATCTATTACCTTCGGTTTTAGGATGGCATAGAAACGATATCCTATTGCCCGACAGTTCAATGCACATTGATTTGTAGCTAAAACATTAAAACCCAACATATAATATGATATAACTGCGAAGTATTGCAATTTTCATAAAATAATATGAAACTGGTGCCTTTTTATATTTAATACCTATTTATAGACACCATAGAGTTAAGAAAGAGTTGTTAGAAATATAAATATAAATATATATTAATATCTTTAATAAGCCATAAAATTAATTTCAACAATATTAAATACCTACCCGACAAATTAAATTTGAAAAAAATTATGTAATTTAGCATAAAACATGAAAGTCAGTCCTAATTTTTGTTATAATACTATTTGCTTTTGTGGTTTTCACATCTCATAGTTTATATCATTTATTGACTTTTAATCAAATAACTCTTCATAGATATTTTCATATTATTAAAAACGCGTTGATATTTTTTTTATTTTTAGACTTCATGATTAATATTTGTAATTGATTTTAAACATAAAATAATAATTGTATTATTAAATATGATGGGAGTTAACCATGATAAAAACAAAGTAAAAATACTTTAAATACTAACCTTGATAGTATGCTGACCATGTATATTTTTGACCGTTGAATAACTTTTCGTTAAACGACGAACATTGAGTTTCCCGAAAATCAGTATTATTCAAGCATATCTGAAATAAAAATAACTTTAGTTAAATTGTTGAGCATGAGTTATACGGTAATTAAATAATCGAATAGAATACAAATATTTAAAATTAAAATATTCAGAAACAAGCTAACCATCATTTTGTATTTTTTATTTAAAAAAAGTTACTTTTGATCTCTATAACGAATCCGTCAGTAGTTTGTAATACATTTTATATCCAGCCAATAAATCGTTTAACTGGTGCACCACAAGTCACAACAGTCGTGAGCTATTTTTTCGTGTACGTATATATTTGGATAAACCAACCGGCTTTTATTTTCGAGTTTCGAAAATGAAATTTATCTAGTTAGGTACGAATTAAAAACAGAGTAGCGTGCAGTGCTATAAGAGCTATAATAATGTTGCGCTTTACGAGCAGACAGCAGCTGCAATAGGTACATATATATACTTGATTTTGTGGGGAGAAAATGAAAAATAGACGGATAAGACGAAATGGTTCCAGGCAAGCTGAAATATTATATTCAATGGATTGCATTCAAAACAACCTAATTGTCAACCGCATTGTCTCCCGCGAGCACGCATATTATATATACATTCCAAGTACGTCCTTCTATAAATGCCTGTTCAAAATGACAACCCAGTTAAACACGCGTGTCTGTAGCCTGCTAGTGAGTGTTTATTTTTTCAAATACGACCACTCGTTTATCTTCGCCGGCAACACGTACTTATACCTATATGTCTTTACCACATGGAATCGCGATTTTGTTGTGTGTATACCTCCGCTTGTACCTATACGTTCTCCGGAGCTAATACACATTGTTTGTTAAATTTAAAATGATTTACGTAGGTACAATGTATAGTGGATTACAGCGTTCACTTAAAAGTTTGATCACACATATTGAAACCAACTATATGCTTCATTATTGTATAGTATATAATATATTGTATTATTATTATTTCAAACTATCTGCTGCCAGTCATGTACACGGCCGTGTTTAAGATATTATGATTGTCGGGTACATCGTTTTTGTCGGCATGTGAACATCTTGTGTTTGAATTTTTCAATTTCACACAAGAAGGCTTTTTATTAATACGTATTATTGAATTTCCTACACTATTGGACGTGATAAAGATTGGCGGGTGTCAAATTCCAAACAGAGAGGGTCGCATGATGCATACAACTTATATAAAATGCCGTCAACAGGGCCGAATGGGACAGTATTAAGAATTAAATTACTAACGGTGTTTTGTAAATAGTTAAAACGAATGGGTACATAATACATATTCTTCATGGCGGGGTTAAGCACCAGCACCGTGGTATACGTTAAAGATAATATTAATGAGTTTTTTTTTTAAGAAAGCCTGTGATGTGTTTAAATGTTCATCGAATGCACATAAAACAAGCTGCAAGTATAGGTATACTAACTATAGATATATATATATATAAACATAGGTAAGAGAGAGAAAAAAAAACCTTATTTATTCGTGTTATACTGTCACGAAAGAAACCCATTTTACAGTAACTATACCTATATGGTCATTCGTAGTGTTCATATTAATTTTAAAATGGTGAAGTAAATAGTAATAACAGGAAGAGTAATAGTGAATAGTAATAATAACTCATTTTTTCACGTAGACTTCTATGTAAATAGATCATTATTTAACTAAAAATCAACAATGCCTGCAATGTATTTGCATTAGTACCTATACAAATAAATAATAATATATATATACCCGCCTATAATATATAGATTAATCTATATTTAAACAAAATAATATTATACGACAAATTTAAATTATACTTATATAATAGATGATAGTCCATATTATATTGTAGACAACATGTAGACTTATACTTGGGTAGGTTTTACACTACGTGGTAAATTCCAAGTTCTAAATGTCAAGTAGTATTTTAAAACCCCTCATGTTTTTTTCTTAGCTATAAACTAGGTACTTTATTTTTTGTTTCATATCAATAGTATAGTTGAGAAAGGGTCAGATTCTTAACTGACCTTTTAATTTTTTTTACATAGTATTTTATTTAACTTATTTATGAAAAAAAGCAATTTTCGTGATTTTTATTTTTTTGAAAATATTTTGTATATTATGTACAAATTGTTGAATATTATAGTTGTAAGATCATGATACATTTATTATATTTAGATGTCTTATTTTGTAATATATATTATATCTCAATACATCTACCTAAATATCCTACGTATATATTTGTATGTATAGGTACTAAGGTACTATAAACGGTTATAGAACTCAATAAATCGAAATTAAAACAATACAATTATTTTAGATATTTTATTAAATCGGATAAAAATAGATTGAATTATAAGTCAAAATACCTAAATTATTATCTCTGCGTTACATCAACGACGATGTCAACGATTCAGAAGATGTTTTGGCGCCCTGACTGGATCCGCCGTGTACTATACCACACGAATAGAGCATAATATTCAACAATGTCCAGTCATTCTGACCAATATCCTAAGCTCGTATTTTTTTTTTCTAGTGATTAAAGCCCTCCTACTGTTTCACCTCGGGTCAATATAAACACACGAAAATACTTTGATTTATTGTGATGCCCGTGTGGATGCACCCAACGTGTTTATTATACAAGACAAATACTTTATTGATACGGACGATACGGTAACAAGCCGGTGGTGATTGTAAAGGTTATCGAGGTACTTATTGAAAGTCAACAAACACATTGCATTGTTACCATATAATTATTTGTAAATATATTATACTCGCATTTTTTTTCGCCTCTCCAATAATAATTACAATCGACCGTACGAGTCGTAACTCCGTATACAAGATGGCCATCGCATCGTGAAGCACCCAGTTATTAATTTAATAAGAGAGATAAGGACTTGGATATAAAAATTATTATAATATGATTGACCGCTTTCGGCTCACCTGTTTATTACAAACGTGGTATCTAGTTTCCTCTGTTTGCCCTCTGCATTTGTCGTCCACGTCAGACACTCGTTTCAAACGTTGTCTTTTGTAAAAAACATTCCTATAAGAGTTGAACAAAAAACAAAATAACAATACATTAAAATGTATAACATGAATAATATGGAGCTGTTCGTTTTAAAATCGATAGTTTCAAAACTTGTAACGCAAATACAGTCACAAATTAAAAAAATATTGTTACTAAAAAATGTTTTAAACTAAACATTAAAACTTAGTAGCACAAAAATATAAAAATAATTTTATATTCATAGATATGTACATTGTTCATGAACACAATTGAATGAATTATATTTCAAATATTGATTAGCTATACCTACAACAGGAAATTTAATTTATATTAACATTTTATTGACAACATAAGATGAAAGAAAACCAAACAAACAAATATACGTGTGCAGCGAGTACAAATAAATACTTACTAAAACTATTTGAAGTACAATATATAAAATAAATGATGTATAGATAGTAATTTAAAATAAGTAACGAAAAAATTACTTTTGATTAAAAATATTATAATACGTCTGTTAACTTGCATTACATGTTATCATAAGATTTCTCGACATTTAGACTTAAGAAAAATTATTGAAGAAATTTATCATTGCAGCTAATATATTTTTGAATTATTTTTTTGATTTTTTAAGGTATTACATGCAAAACTTCTTCATACTTGAAAAACATTTACAGAAAAATATTTTAGGAAAAAATCATTGTAAGTGCTTTTGCTAAGTATAATATATGCTAAGCACCATTCACTCGCAAACATCCCCTAAACTGGGCCTATATACAACATATCGAAAGAATACAAAAAATATTATATTAAATCGAATTCCGGGTTCAATTTAAATAAAAAATATATCGTGTGACGTGGCGTTGGCGCCTGACGGATAAGATCCTTTTGGCTTATAAAATGTATCCTAAAAAAATGCATTAACCGATTGACTCGGGGTGCATATGAATTAAAAAAGGACTTCTTAAACTTGTATATAGCTGTTGTGTGTCGTATGAAATGTTTGAAAAAGTTATTTTGTTTTTTCCCAGTCATTATTATATTGTGTTACATTCGTATGTACCATATACATTATAAAACTAATTTAAAATTTGTAGGGAGTGTATTTTTTTATTTTTTCTCTTTAATAACAATATCACTGAGCTACTTTGGAAGGTCAATACTCGGATAACGCCGACCGGTTGGATGTGGAATCACTTTTTTTAAGTGCCTGCCGTATTAAAACGTAAAATCGTATGGTTTTACACTACGAAAATAGAACGAAGGGAAAAAACAATAAGGCGGGCTTCATGTTTATAAGTATTACCCGGCGTAATATATCGGCATAAATAGGGTGTATCACGTGACGTGATATACACGCGTATTAATGACAGTAATGTTGGGTTCCAAGCAATGGTCTATTATTTGAACCAGCACCTAAACGATCAATTAAGGAGGTGCATCACCATGTTATTACAATCTAAATGCCATATAAAGTGCCGGAAAAAATGTAAACATAAAGTAAAATTAGTAATAGACAACATTCAATGACCTATGTACTTATCTGTACGTCGTGTAAACATACAAACACCTTTAAAATTCCAACAACATATTATGCTAACAATCGTATTATAGGTAATGCATCAGATATATTATATCATGTGTATACTTAAGTCCACCGACACGAAATAACCACTAACTATTATTGTATCCATCCCCTTTTATTTATCCACCCATCTATAATGGGTAATAAAAGAAATCAAGTGTTATTGGATTCATTCTAATATAAGGATATAATTACAACAATATTTAAATATCCTCCGTTTTATCAGTCAGGTTTAATTTGATGTTTGCATTGAAATAATGATCTTAATATTCAACTCTAATCAATAACTACTGTATTAAAAACAATAATTAGGTATAAACTATATATTTATATGTATTTATATATTTATATGTAATTAAATTAACTAAAACAACTAATACTATCATATTAGGCAGTAGGCATTGTATATATTATGTGGAGTTTTTACGACAATTACCTTTGTACGTCAGTTGATTTTCGAATACATTGTCTGGTTTGTTTGGTTACGCCTAGACCACATGATGTAGAGCAAGGAGTCCATGGTGACCACGGAGACCATTCTCCCCAATCTTTAGTATCATTTGTCTTCCACGTAGAATTCACATTGAAACCAGTGACATTGTCATTACCAAAAATCTATAAAACATATGTTATTTTGCAATTAATTGAATTTAAACATTATTAATATAATATTGTTTTAAATTTAATTTGAAGTATTCTTTATCAGTGGTTTACAGTTGAAAGTGATTTAGAGATATTTATTTACATAAGGATTACGTTTAACTGGATACACTGTTAACAAGTAAAGTGTTTACACATTACACTAATGACTATTTTTTTTTTAGTAATAAGTAATGACTAAAAGTGTAAAACTTGCTTCGATAAAATAATTTGCTGACAATATCATTATTTTTTTTTTGTATTATATTTTGTTTAAAAATAAAATATAGAAAAATTTTAGTAATTAAGTGAGTAGTCAGTAGTTTGTGAAATAATTTGAAAATGCATAATTTTAGAAAATATTTCTGGCCTATAAATCCAAGAACAGCGGAACTTATTACTCAGTGAATTTAATAATGTAATTTTGTATTTTGTAACATTAATTTATGGTTATATTGTATAATGTACTCATATTTATTATTAGATTCATAATAATCTGCAATGTTATTTTAATAACAAATTACTTTAAAAATATGTATATATTATTTATATTTATCAACTTTAATAGCATTAAACTATTTTTTAAAACAATCAAATAAATGTATATTAAATAAAAACAATGATATTTGACTGACCATTAATAAGTTAATTAAAAATAATTGTACAAAATTAAATAAATAATTATGTTGACCAAAGTATTTAGCTGTAATTTATACAAAAAAAAAATGATTTTATTTATAAAAAAAAACTTAAACTTGTAAAGTTGTAAAATATGAGAATACTTAAATCTTAGTATAGTTTGTTGTATATTATTAATATTCATTTAAACATGATACTATAATTGTTTTTAAAAATATAGGTAAGTTAAAAATGTAAGTAGATATTGTTTTTTTTTTGTTATTTATAAAACAAAATAGATACACTCTTAAAACCGAGTACCTACACGACGGTGTTCCATAATAGGTAGGTGTATAGTACTGCAGTATACGATTTAAAAAAAAGGGAAAACAAACATCAACACCTCTTTTCACTTTAATGTTGTGCTATCTGTACCTATACGTCGTTGAGCTGTATAATATAGCCATCGTCTTATGTCTCTGCCTAATTGAAATAATTCAAAAACCAATTAAACTGTTGACCGAGCGCGCGCGGTAAGTGCGTAAACGATAAATTCACTATTTACATTCAGATGGGTGGTTTTATTTCAATAAATATAAAATTATAATAAGACTATTAATTTTTTTTTCTTTTCTGACATTACGACTTAAACATAATAGTAATAATATTATATACGCACAACTATATAGACAATATTGATTAGTTCCAATCAACCGAATAGGTATACGCTCGCACAAGTCCTCAGAGCACACGAGGACATATATATATATATATATATATATTAAATAGCGTATAAACGCGAGTGTACATATATTTATATGTATAAACAATGTGAACATCGGGTGTGGGCGTTTATGTTTATTAATGCGCACGGACACGACGACGGCTCACGGTCCACCGATCTGTCCCCTAACGAACAAGGTACCTCGTCGTCTCAGATGGGCGCCAGCCTGCAACTACTCCGGCAAGACGGCGGCGCGTGCACGTCCAGACATACAGTAAATACAATAATAATATTAGATAGGCAAGTACACTCGTAATAATCATAATAATGTATAGTATGATAATGCACATTATAATATATTATAATGTTATGCAAAACCTTATATGTGTATTTGTTTCTTTTTCGTACATGGCTTGTCAATAGTCGTTCAAGCCATGCAGAAAGAATACACGCGATGCGATCAAATATAATATTTAAAAAGGAACTCGTGCAAACACCGCATAATAATATAGGGTGCACATGAGTCAAACGTATATAACTGCAGTTAGGATGAGACACCGAAAAGGTAAATTAATAAGAGTGCAGCGCATGTCGTATAGTTATGTATATATTATTATAATATGTGAGTGTATGTGTCATTAGGCGGATTCGGTTACGGGTCAACGATCAACGGCGAGATATCTCATAATATACTATTAGCGTTCTAAACACTTCCTGTACACGGATCACGCAAATGATATGATGAATGAAATATTGAAAACGTATAAAACACAATCGGGATGATGCTTTTTATCGAGTACCTAAATTGGAGAACAATGGGCACAAACGCACAATGATCAAATAAAAACAATGAATTCGGTGACAAAAACCTCATGGTGGGAGGAAGTGTGCGACTTTATTATATATTATGATTTTAAACGCCAGTTTGATCGATTTCAATATATACCTAGGTATTTTCGAGTTCTTAGCGCCATCATATTGACATGCGAATTCAAAGCGATTGCACTTTGTTTATAGAAGGGAAATTTTAAATGATTTTTCTAAACTAATAATTATAAATATTTTATGTAGGTACTTTTACATACTGATCAGTGATTACCTTGAACAATTTTTAATGTTAGTAATCTGGATGATAAAAAAGTCTTGAACCTATTCTTATAGAAAATATATCTTAAAACAAATTCATTTTAGAGGACGCTACACACACACATTAGGCCGTTCTCTTTGTCTTCTTACAGTTCGATTACATAAGGTACGTAATAGGTAGGTACTCATTACTCAATTTACGTTCCGCACTTACAATACAGTTTTGTTCTTTTAAATTGTAATGCAAATTTACCTTTTATCAAACTTAAAGACAATAACACTATCCATGGTCTCTCGTCAGACTTTCTTTTTAGATATTATAATTTTAAACAAGTTATACGTTTTTTTTACTGTACCTAAATATATGCATGTAGAATATTCTATCTGTTTATCTATTGCAAACAACAAAACTACATTGGAAAATATGCGGAACATGAATTTAGTATTTTACGTGACAGAGACAACGAATTCGTGTACATAGCATCCTCTTAAATTTGACTGTTAAAATAAGATCTATATAGATATGATAAACAGATAACAATTTTGTTTTTATAAAAAGTTGTCGGTAAAATTGAAATAATTTTTCGTATAATATGTTACATGTCGATGGGAGTTTTATACTACCAATAAGTATTATCAAAATGCAATTGTCAAAGTTAAATTTGATTACACGTTTAAAATGTTAACACTTATTAAAAAAATAATATAATTTTTAACACGTTGTTTTCAATAGAATGGACGTATTTGAAGAATACACGAATCAATAAGTATATTTAATATGTAAATGTTAACATTGTTTTTTTCCAAATTTTAGACTTGTCCAAAAATTAAATAAAAATTTGCATACATTATAAAAACGTCAATAACCACGCCATGACACACCCTCCGCTTGTAAGCGCCGTATGTTTTTTTTTAATTGTATCGAAAATAGATGTGTCGCCGGTGAAGTGAAATTTGATAAATTAAAAAGAAAAAATGCTCTGTTATAAATGGAATCATAAGCGGACCTGTCAACATTGACAAACTACCAGTCATGGCTCACTGGATTGACAAAATATAATAGGGACAAAAAACAACATTGGATCCGGTCCAACCTTTTAATACGAAATTATTCCGCCCAAATAACTGAGTAATACGCTCTCGATACACGACCATCTCGCCGAGTCAGATCATTTGAACTGTATTAGGTACTCTATAATAAACCGAATTCCGTTTGGCCAAGAATACCTATACCGGCTATACCGCAAAACTTAAGATTATACTCGTATATAAATAACTCAATTCTATACAAACGACCGAACAACAAATAAACTTTCAGTTAACTTTTAAATTAAACAAAACTACAAATATATTCACATAGATGTATTTTTAGATACCTACTTGATTTATAGTTTTATTGGAGTAGTCAGAAAATAAGATTTGAATCAATAATTAATTTATTATTCATCACTATATACATTAGCACGCAACGCGTAAATGTGTTAGGTGATAGATTTATTTATTACACAGTTTAATATGAAACATATTCTTTAAAACTCATTCTATCTAAGAATTAAAATACGCTGTGTGAGTAAACGGATTTACAATATTATTATATTAGAATCGAAATAAAAAAAATTGTGAAATTTATAGCGATTTGTGATCTGATAGGTAATCAACTAAATTCAGAAGGCATACCCACTGTAAAAAAAAATATGCGAAAATTCGAAACTAAAATAAAAAAAATCTTAAATCCACACGGAAATCGGCATAATATTAATATGAATTTATTAAGATAGTATGTCGTACAATCGCGTATAGTAAAACTAAATAGATGTAAAAGAACATTAGTAATTAGATTAGCATATAAGAGTAAGAAGAATCTACATTAGCAACAGAAGTTTTATACTTAGGTGTGTATACTAATGACGATACCAAAAAAATGCAATATGTATATAATGTATATTATTAGGGTGGTCCTTAATGTATATAGATGATGACATTTTTATTGGTCTACCCTAAATTGTGCCTCAAGAGGGCTGAAGTTGATTCAATTTTTGCAATGTTGACCTAAAATATTGAAGATAGGCAAAAAAGTGCCCGAACAAAATATTTTTTTAACTGAATATCCTATAAAAATTGTTTCTTGTACTTTTTTCATTTAACTACTCATTCCCCTACAAAATAACAAAAACTAGTATTTGGTTTATTTACTATACATTGTATATGTTTTATGTTTCTGTTATATGTTATCAAATTTTGATTTTTAATTCGTTATTGTTTGTATTCAAAATTAGTTTAAAGAAGAGAATTCCTAAATTGAATTGTTCAAACATTAAAGAAATAATTACAATCGCTTTTATTACAAATAATTAAAAATATGTTCTAAACAATTTCAAGAAACGGACGATCGCCAGCGGTGACTTCTTTACTCGTCGTTTCCGTCTTCAGATGTGGCTAGCGAGAGAGATATCTCCGACCTCCGTGGACGCTGCAGCATCAGTTTCTCCGCATTATTATAATTATTGGACTTATCCGAAGCGCGTTATCGAGATGGGATCGTTATATGACAACAACGAGCAGCAACCCACGTGTAAGGATCTTAATAACTGACGGTAATGAAGAAATTATTAAAAAATAAAAAACACCATACGCCCGCAGCGCGAAACCTGTAGCCACGGTTCTGTAGTAACCGACCCCCGCGCCGCTAACCGAGCTGACAACGACAGCGACGGTTAAATTAGCTTTCCACCGAGGCATAAATCATCCGGACGACTCAAAATATAAGAAACATAAACAAATATCGTGTGGTGCGAGTGGTGTGCACACATTTTATTTCCAATCGCATTACATTATATTATACATAGATAAGTTTTCGTCTTGTTTCCGAAACACGTCGTAATTATGAGCGCGTGAAAATATTATAATAATAATAAAATACTCACAATATTAATTATTAATATATTCCCAGCGTTCGTCATAATATATTACTTCGAGATCGAGTGTACGAAGCGAAAACGCACGGATAGTTCGTGACACTTAATCGTAGCTGGAGTTCGCGTGTCCGTCGCGATTACACTACTGTTTGGACATTAATCGTTTATGAAACTAATAAAATGCGAAAATCCGTGACAAATTGAATTGAATCCGTGACCAGAACACGACGAAGTCGTATGTATAAATTTAAAACAAAAAACAAAAAACAAGTAGCCCGCAATGGTATTCATTTGCATAATACGCGCTGCGGAGCTCATAATATTAGAATATCTTTGACGGGGTTATTCTAAGCTACTGAAAATGAAGACCGATTGTTTACGAATTCGATCGTTGAAACATAATCACGTCTAAAAAGATGTTTGACTACCTAGGTACGGGTATCACGGCTACAAAATATATAGTACCTACAATAATAACGTATACGATTAATGTCCTAAGCGATCAACGACGACATTATTTATTTTAATACGGGTAATTAATCAGATTTTACTGAAATGTTTCAACTGTTTCAATATAGGTGTATTATTACGGTATTACTACTACGGTTGTAGCCAAGTAAGAAAACGTCTGAATGAATTCACATCAATCATTATAAATAACTTTAAAAAAAAGATTTTAAGTTGTTATGTTACAGTTAAAGTCTGTGTAGGTATAGTTCAACCGTCAGACGCGTCTGAGCAAACAGTAACCTCCACACTTCCACCTATGAAAGTGTGATATTTCGGTATTCGGAAAAAAAATCCCCAGAAAAAAAATCCCCGGAAAAAAAATCCCCAAAGTTTGCTTTGTAAGGTTTGCAAAATTTACTTTGGGAAATTTTTGACAGCTGTGACTCTGTGAGTAATAACATACTCAAGAGAACTGATTACCTTTTTATTATATAGGTGAATAGATATTATTTTTATTTTATACGCAATGTGATTTGTTCATTATTATCATAATTATTTTTAATTTTTGCGTAATCTAGCTGTGTGATCAAGATAATATTATAATAGTTATCATTCAAATTTTATATATTTTTTTAATTATCGTATATTATTATTATTATTTTAAAACAGTTAGGTATATCTTGGGGGATTTTTTTTCCGGGGATTTTTTTTCCTAGATTCGATATTTCGAAGTTACTATATGGTTTCGTGGAAATATTTCTTTGTGACAACAGTTCGACAAAAAAAAAACAAATTTCGCGATCAGCTCCATACGACACTTTTATTTTATTAATATGACACTATAATTTTAGTTTACAGTCGTATTATGTTTTTAAAGTTGTTTTTTTAATTAATGATAAATTTACATAAGTTTGCAGTATTAACATCATTTTTAAGTTTTTTTTAATTATCATAATAAATATTATTGTAAACAATTATGAATCATAATTTATGAATGTTTTGTATTATAAAAAAATGTAATTGGAATATTATTTCCGTAAATAATTTACTGTTACTATTACATTTGTGTATATAAATATATAGGTAATTTGCAGTAGTACCTATTTAAATTTTAAATATTGGCCATGAATTTATCAAACTAGGTTATTTTAACAGTTCAATAGCAGCATCGATGTACATTTAATTATAAGCACGTGTCCCTTGAATGGGTAAAAAAACACCTTACCGAAGAATTATTGATAAATAGAAATAAAGCTTTCTAGAACATCCAAGGTCGTTCGTCGTTGTGACGTCGACTATAATTGTAATGCATTATTTACTTAAATTGCCTATTTATCTTAAACGGGCAAAAGATATTTCAAGTGCAATGACTTTCTAATGAGCAGTTTTAATTCCAAGAAGAAGTTATCACTGGTTTGACAATCCATTGGCTCACGTTGTGTCTCTCTCCGTAGGTAAATATTGCATAAGTATTTCTTTTCTCAATCAACACTACACACCCGTTGAGGTGGTTAATTATTTCTTTAGTTATTTACTAGGTTTATTATTGATGAAGAAGTAGTATAATACGAGTAGTAGAAAATCATAAACATGTAATTTCAAATACAATATCACAACATTCTAAGACACCTCCACCTAATTTAATTGTTTTATGTATATTGAATCACGTATACCTATGTGTAGTGTGTACTTTAAGCACATAAATATTATAATGTCCTATAGTATCGTAAAACTGTAAAATCATATCAATCATAACATACCCATCATATTTTTACAGACGATACCTAGGTTTAATATTATATATATTATATACCTATACCTAATTTACGTAAGTATACTCCATAGTTCGTAGAAATGAAATAATTATTATTCGGGATGATATGATTTTCAATCTTTTATCACAGATATTTTTTTAATATCATACATTAATGTTATTATATAATATAAACTTAAACAATATGAGCAGAAACATGCATTCCATGAGTGTATAATCTACAGCTATAATATTATGCACAATAATTTTTATAAAATTGGAATAAATAGTATTTTAAACCACACCAGATTATTTATTAAGAAAATCAAATGAGTTAAATAAGACCACATTAAATTTTAAAGGCTTGTTGAGACTAAAAGATCATTAATACATAAATCAATAAATGATAACTAATGTAATCCATCTCTTTTTAAGTAACCTACTAATACTTTTTCTCGTTTTACATAAATCTCAAATGTTATAAGCGAATGTTTAGTAATTACTTACGGCAATTAATCCTGACTGGTTTGAATGTCTTTTAGAACGGGTAAATCCTGGATTATGAGCTTGAATCAAGATTAGCGATATTATTAATAACCTAAAAAAGAATAATGTAACAATTAATAAAAAAATAACAAAAGCAATCCATTTTAAAACAACTAAAACAGCCAAAAAAAATATTAATATCTATTAAAAGTTAATACACAGTTAGAGTACAAATAAATTGTAGTGTACCTAATGTTAAAAAGCACAACAATTTTAATTACCTACTACTAAATTACTTTACACAAAACATAAATAAATATATTTTCTTTGAAAAATATTCAAGCATCTACCTATACATTATAATAATGTATTATTAGTGGCCTTAGTGGTTAAAGCAGAAATTATTAAAATGTCAAGACCAATAAAAAATAAAATAAATAATAATTGTATTATTTTATTAAAATAAAATATGTCATACTCTTTACATACTGGAATTCTTAATAAAAATAAAAAAAACCTTTTAAGGGGTACTTAATCGACAATGCAATTCATAAAGGTGTTTATTTCATATATACGCATTACGCATATTAGTACACCAAGGGCCGAGAAATGCTTGACTTTAAGACATTCAAAACTGTTGGCACTCCAATTTGTCTATAACATTTACTATTTTTACTTGAAATCATAATAAATTATATAATTTGTTTTGACACATTATCATAAAACGTGAATGCATCTCATCAAGATATATATATTCAGATTGTAACGTAAACATAATAATATAACGGGTATGGAATAATAAAAAAGTGGAAGTGGAGAATATTATAAACCTTAGACTGTCAAAACGCCCACTGTATCCGACACTATATGCTGAAAATATTACGATTGTCGATTCACACGCGAAGTAAACATTTTTGATTTGTACGATTTATATTTTATTTTGGCCACTGGCATTTCAAGAAAAAAGATATGAAGGCGTGCGTTTTATGCCGACGCCCACGTGCTATACTTCCCCAGGTTGCACATATCTTTTAGATATATTTTCAACTGCTACTTGTCCAGTTATTAACAACCTAGTCCTGTCAAACATTGCATATAGTCAAACCTCGAACAATATTTATTATCGAAGACATTAGTAACATTCAGATTTAAATTATATTATAATATTTATAGGCATAATAACATTATTTCAAAGCTAGAAAACTCATAACACTATAATAAGTAGTTATGCTATAACTTATAAATTGTAATCATAGATTAACCAATAATTCTCTATTGGTTTAAGACCAAATAATAGATTTTTTTTAATATCATTTACAATTTTGACGATAGTAAAAGAATAATTATATAATAGGTATATTAATATTAAACAGCAAAATTGTATTAAGAATGATATTTTATGTCCGTGGAGCCCTTAAAACACTCACTGTGTTCTAGAGATCCAAGGACCACAGTTTGAGAGCCGTACTATTGAAAAGCAAGATTAGTCTTTCTCAACTTTTACATTTTACAAAAAAAAATCATTAAAATAATTGAAATCGTAGTTTAAGCTAGTCGTCTAGACGTATATAAAAAATAATTCTCCATACATTATATGCTATCGGATACATTTTAATATTGAATATTGATGTTACGAATGCATTTCATGTTTTTAAACGAAGTTAGTTAAATATGTATTATATTATAATAATATATGAGTACTTATCGGTAAGAAGAGAACAATAATCTTTCACAATAGTTTTGAAGTATATATAATATATAATGGTAATTTATGCAAATTAAGAACAGTTCGTTTATGTATAAGCCAGAGTATTTAAAAGTATACACGTTACACGCAAGTTATAGAACTATACCTATATATACACATCGATACATTATTTCTTTTAAATATGAATATAACTTTTCATACTTCACCTATGTATAGGTGTGTAATAAATAATAATTACTATAACGTCTGCTTAATCTGTAAAAGTAATAAACGATGTTATATAGGTTACAATAATAACTTGTTACAATAAAGTTACAAATATTATAATTTATATTATAACAAACGCGTGAAACATAACTATAATCTTTAGCTTGTGTTTACAGAAATTAGTATACCTATGTATTACATATTGTTATATTATACACTACTATAGAAGGTAAAAAATTAGACGTATTAAATTTGGTACACCCATCTATCCCGTGTGAACCATATCATTATCCGAGGTCGATAAGTGGCGCTTGGACTGCAATTTGCCTAACTATAATATATATTAGATCAAATAACAACACAGTGTCAGCCGCTAAGTTACGATTGGAATTTCGAGTAGTATAGGATCATAACATGCATAATCGTGTATATCTATACAGGTACCTATAATACATGTATATATTATTACTATTAATCAAAGTCGTGATGATAAATAATAAGTGTCTTACAACCCATATATAAAAGATCTACATATATTATATTTGACTTAATTTCCCTACAAAGTAATATTTTAAATAGTTGCTTACATTACTAATATATACTTACTTCGAAACTATATAAAGCATGTACAAAAGGTAGGTACCTACTAAAGTTTAAAAGAAATAAATACATTTTTTATTTGTTAACAACAAGTACCTAATCAATAATAATAATAATAATTTAATCTCAATAAAATGCCTGGTTAAATAGATTAACCAATGTTTAATACTGAATTTAACACAACTTTCTAATGTAAATCGATAATTTTATCATTCTGTAAGTACTGAGTTCAAACAACACTTACGATACACATTAAACGGTTAAACAATATCCGGTTTATACAACACGTTAGGATAAGCGAATGCCACCAAATTACTCAATGTGTGTATATACTATAGATCAATATGGGTATTGGGTATAGAGTATAGACTATATACATAATATATTGTCTGCATTACATATTTATTCTGTCTAAAATTAGAATTTCGTTGTAAGCCCTTGGCTCAAGAACCCTTTGAAAGATATCTTGAATAAAGTTTTGAATATTATGTAAATATAGATAGTGAGTGACACTAATCTCTATATATACTTATTATTTTTATATGGTCGACTATCTGCTCAGAATAACTTATACAGTTATACTAACATATTATTATATTGAAAATAACTGTACGAACACTCATATTAGTATCATAATATATTATTATATAATGTTGCATATAATTTACATGACTAAGCTACGAAATCATACATTATATGTATCAGAAAAGTGTGATAAGCTAAATTACTGTATACAATTAGACGATTATTATTTTGATATATGTTAAATATTTAATTTTCCTCATTCGCTTTATTTTACGTTTTAATAATCGTATAAATTCATTCTGTTATTTTTTATAATTATAAAACATATTCTAAATCTTATCACAATATTATATACTTTTATAGTTTTATGCCGAGTTGCATAAAAAATGTATTTATTTAATCGCTCACTAGAGTTTAATAGACTAATCGTGGACCACCAAAATACAAAATCATGTTTAAGGGACCAATATAATTATTATATTACTCTACCTACATATTAATCGTAGACGTGAAAAATAAAAATTGTTTTACATAAAGAAAATATTAATATTTAATTTTAATCTAATTTCACTAAGTAATATCTATAAAATATTAAAATTGATATACTAAAATTATATCTACTTCGCATTCAAAAAATTATATGCTGTAATTTAAAAGGGAAACTTTTTATTCCGGTTTATATTTATAAACAATATACTAATAGTATAATATTATAATCACTCAGATTTCAATTTTATAATTTAAGCTATTTGTCAAGGATAGTGCATCTTTTTTATGTATTATATTTTAAAATTACAAAAATTGATTAAAAATTGATCAAAACAAAAAAACCTCAAGTATCTATTTAATGTATGATGTTAAACACTAAAACCAAACGCTTATTACATATTATGGTTTTCAAAAATAAAGTATACGTGATGTTATCAATTGAATGCGGCTATATATATATATATATACATACAGTATAAATATAATATGTATATAAATACATTATAAAACTATAAATTCTGTATACGCGTCCTTTACATTTTTTTAAGACCAATAAAATAATTTTCACTAAAATCCTTACGGGCAAATGTAAATATTTAAAGAAGTTCTTTAAAACTAAACGTTTAAAATGTCGTAACTTGATACGAACGCATTAAATATATTCTCTAGTACTACACTATTTTAGATTTTAAGAGGCAATGTGTATAGAAATTATCTAATACTTTGTTGTTTTCTATATCACGTATATAGATCTACATGAATACATCAATGAAAACGTGACGAGTGCCAATATTACACAATATCGATGTTGTACTTCGCACATCAACAATAAGCAATTATGACAACATAAAGTCTTATTAAACACATATATTTTGACCTACCTAACACAGTATAAACATAAATTCCGTAAACTAAGATATTTATTTAAGATTGCGAGTAAAGCACATGCCCATATTATTTTATTGGAAAAAAAGTGATCTCCGATCAGAAAGGAGTTTTCGAAATTAAGCAATTAGAATTGCAGCGAAGAACTTTACTAACAATATTATATTATGTATAAGCTTGTCTCTATTACTAGTGGATTTTAAACATTTATGCTTAAAATGAAATGAAATTAATTATGTTTTATGAAATATAATTCATTATCACTTTATTATATTAGTGTATATACTATCAAGCAAAATTTGATTTTTTTAACAAGACCTTATACATTCTTAATTTTGTTTTAATCGAGTGAGTACGAGATTTCATAAAAATCCTAATACCTAAGCGTCTGATGTATTACTCTATTACCACAGGTGGTTTTGTTTGGTTAACACAGCAATTACTGCAATTAAGAAACCAGACGGATCCACTAGTACCAACATTTTGAAAACTATTGTTATAATGTATAAAACTATAAAAAGTAATCCATTATTGACCCGTGGTTAATAAAAATTACATATCGTTATGGGTCAGAAACATGTCAACAAACACTTTACCGGTAATGTTTATATTGTGTTAGATAGGTAATTGACTATTATTATTATTTTACATCTAATAACGGACAAAATATTTTAAGATCAAACTGTGGACACAAGTGTTTAACTTAAACAAACAATTTCCTAATGAACCTATATCCAAATTTTTGGTTTACGAGAATTCACTTTTGGAGTCATCCATTATTATTACTATAAATTATTGTAAAAATAAAGTAATTGTAATAAAATATAGTATATGTTTATGTGAAAATAAAAGTTATTATAATAAAATATGTAGATTATAATGCATTCATGAAATATGTATAAAAAACATGAGGTATAATTTATTATAATTGATACGTTTTCCAACGGATATCAAATTAAATCCATAAAAATACTCAACAAAAAATGTTATGCCTATCTAAATAAATTCTTCATCAAAAATAATAAGCGATGACATATTGTAACTAATTGTAAATGCAAATCATTTTATTTTTAACAAATAAAAGAAGTATGAAAATGTACAAAAGATAAGCTGATATACAAGCTAAAGTTACCTATCGTAATATCTTCATTTGTCATTTTCCCATATTTCATTCTAACTTTAAATTCTCGTATTCAATAGTTCTTTAAGAAAGAATATTTTAAATAGAAATTAAATAGATTAACCTTGAATCGATGTGATGAATAGGTTAGGTTGCACGTATAGGCATTTTAAATCACATTTAACTTTATAAATTATCACGATATGACACCTATTAGGTATCTAGTATACCGTATCTAATCGTTTTTTGAACACAAACATTTGCAAAATAATAAATTCACAATAATTTACGATTTAACCTCAGTATTTTTGTTTAGCTATATTATGTATGAGCATATCAGCTACGGGTTAACTGATTGTTTCGACATTAAAGGATACATTGAATCCTGAAGGACATGCACGTGGACTTTAACTAACAGTGACAAGCGTCTTATGATTATTCTGAATGTTCATTCCCACTTCGGTATAAAGCTTTTTTTGCAATAATGCGTATAGTTTACCCTTGTTAAATAATTCTATTATATATAAACCAATATATAACGTCTGATGGTGTTAGTGTGTCTACTGTATATTCATATTATTGTCCAACAATGTTTCCAACAATACAATAGGGGACAGACCGAAATGTTCCTTCGTTAGCCGTCAGTCCGTCAGACATGATTAAATCTCGTTACAAGTGTAATATGGGCATCGGAATGCACTACAAAATGATTCGTAAAGGAAAATATATTAAATAAATACTTTATTCTCACAGAAATTTCTTTTTGGAGTATTTTGTATCGTTGATTGCGGTTTTCTACTTTGGACTTTATTATTACTACACATAACATATAAATCTTAAACACTTGTCATTTTCATTTTTCGCCAACACAAATTGTAGAAAATTCAAAATAGTGCTATTAGTGTACTATACATGTATACAAAGGGAAATGGAAATTTTATTTTATTTTTAGGTTTATGAATTCTGAACTTCTGAAAGAGCCTTATTCCATTCTATGATCCCTCAGTCCCCGAGTACAAAAGTAATCATACACAAATGTATTCTGTTCTGAACAATAGAAATGTTAATACTCATATTCAATTGGACAAAATCTGTACTCGGGTTTTCATCGAACAAAAAAAAAAAGATTTAACCTACACTAATCCGCGTTCCCTCCGACTAATCATTAATTATATGCTCAAGTAGGATCATTCATTATACGCCTTGCGTATAGTTTAATATATTATATATTTTATATAACATTAGGTACAGTTGTCGAATTTATAAAATTTTAAAAAAATGGCTTCCGGTATCACTAAACGGATGCAAAACGGTATACCCCCAAATATACTTAAGGCTGTTCATTGCAGCAGGGATTTATTCCTTTACTTTATTATTACATCACTACTTATACATAACTATACATACGACTAAATAATAAGTGTTCGCGAGGGTATGTTTTTTCTCGTATTATTTCTTATTATTACACAATAAGACAAAGAACCCAACAATACACTAACGTTCTGTTTGTTTAAATAATGAAAATGGGTGTGCAATAAATTCGAATTTAATTTCCACTAGCATAAACCGATGGGCGTGTTTTGCGGAAATCCGTTTGGGTGCTAAGCAGACGCACTGTGTATATATTTGTGCTCGCGATTGTATGTAGGTACCTATACATACATAATATTATGCTTTTGGGTCACTATTTACATCACCTCTACATAAATAACCGTTTAATTTTTAATTTTAATTTTTTGAAATTCTAATTACATACAGGACAAGGGACACCGATTAAAACGATATTGTTCAATATTTTTAACGAATTCCAGTTGACCGTGAAATTGCGCTAGGTATATTATACACTTTCATAGCATGTTTCAGTCGAATTCACTACATTAACTATAACTATATCTACCAATATAGTTTGAACATTTAGCTATGGCCCAGCGCCAACCAATGTTCATATCATGTATATAGGTACAAACATTGCTAATAATACGACCCTTTGAGCGGTAAAACGGCTTTTTTTAATTAGTTTATTCGATTTTTTTACTCATTTTGTTTTTAACTGATTTTTATCGACATATCAATTAGTTTTAAAAACAAATTATAATACTAAAATAACCGTTATCCTTTATGTTTTTATTCAGTTATTTTCACGACCAGTACCTATTATAATAATTATTATTAGCGAGCTATTTCGACCAAATTTGCTAAGTTTAATCATTGTAATTATGTAAATAATAATTCACCAGAAACACGCAAATGGATTTATTTCCCGTTATTCTATAACGATTTAATAACTCAGCGCCGTTCGAAAAAGAAATTGTTCGATGCGGTGGCAACGGTTATTATTCATGTCTTTTATAAACATTTAAACGGGAGCCAAACAATTAGAGTACCTATATACCTAAATTTTACTTTAGTTGTTTGGTGCTGATAAAAATCAAATAGTATAAGTATGCAATAGAAAATTATTGATATCATATTACGATGGTGATTTCCGAAAAATGATGATGGTTTAGGATATCAAAAAAAGTAAACTCCCAATATTACCACATAAAAAAAGTTTAACGATGTAATAAATACAAGGATGAGTGGTGATATTATTAACATTAAAAATTATTTTATTACAAATTATTCAAAAGACTAATGTTGAAGAAAATGTATTATATCCTATAGGTAACAGAAATGTTTAAATTGTTTAGTTTGTGTATCATTAATTCATGAACAATTTATTACTATAAATGTTACCTTCTGTGTTAATCTATTTAAAATTAACTAATAAATTAATTTTAATACATTAATATTATCAGATAATTACAATATAATATTATATTTATTAGACAATGAAACTTAAATTTAAAAATTCAGTTTAAAATATAAATGAAAATATTATTAAATTAACAATAACATAGCTAAAAAAACATCTGAAATTCTGAACCTTGAACATAAACTGATTTGTTTTAAAGCTCGTATCTTAATTTATTTATTTGAATACAAAAATTGTCATTCATAAATTCAAAATTTGTTTTTATAATAATTGTAGAATGTACTTAATTTAAAATTAGTCACTAATTTAAAAAGTTGATATTGACAGTTAAAATAGTGAAATAAAAAAGTAAAATATTTTTTTTCCCATTTAATTGGTACCAAGGTATCTAATATTAAGTTATGAATGAAAAATTAAAATACTTATCTCCCATTTTACTTATCTTACTACCTATATATTACCTAATCAAAAAATATGAAGATAGATCATGTATTATATCATAAGTTTTGTTTGAAAGAAAAATTGTAAACCACGAAAAATCGTTATATTTTTCAACACATTATATGAAAAAAAATTTTAATTTAACCCTTGGAAAGTTGAAAGCATTTCCATTATAATAAAATGTTTTATAATAATATGTATAGTAGGGTATATACTAGGATAGATTATTATGATGGTTAAACATATATGATACAGCTAATGAATTTGTAGAAACTAGATGATGACGGAAAACGGAAAAAAACGATATTTGTTTTTATAATTATAACAAATTGAAAGCCTTAACGAATATATTATTACTTATCTCTAGTAGGTAGGTATATATGTAATTACTATCGTATATCTCGAGCTGTAAAATGTATACTTATCGCTTAAAAAAAAATCGCCACGTTTTGTTATAAATAATTATTAGCACTCTTCCCATTCACATATCATCCTTCCATAATATCGGAACAGAAAATATACAAACTATTTTTTTTTTATAATATAGCATTTTTGGTTATTATATAATAGAACTTACCAAAAGCACCCCGAGTAGTTCAACAGTAACGCCATATTTTCGTTTCGACGCAACTATAATAATAATTGTTTCATCAAGTGAGAGAATTTCGGAAAACGTAGGTAAAAACAATAAAAGCCAAAAAATTTTTTAAAAAAGAACAGAACTGCCCATATGATACAACAAATAACGATGATTAATGTCGTCGAAAACCACGATAGGATGAAGGCACGTGTCCATTCGCCGACATGACGGCGGTGATAAGGCCCGGCACGTGCAACGCCAAGACCAAAACTGAAACCGACCGCTCCACAAAATGTGTACATAGGCGGCCGCTCATCTTTTTTCGACTGTGTGAGTGTATGTGTATGTGTGTGTTTGGGTGTATCGTACACGTATATGCATAGATAGTGTGCCTGAGTGTGGTGCGCCCGCGTTTCTACGTATGCAAGTTTGTATATGCGTTTCGGTCTCTCGGACACGACAAAAAAAAGACTGCATTAGGTACCTACCTATAATATTATAATCTAAAATAGTTTATTACTATTTGGTTAAGAGTCATGAGTACATGCTATAATCAAAATTTAAATTGTTAGTACCCCGGAGGATTCGTTAACTGCGAAAAATAAACAATATGAAACTAGTAGATACAGTGTACACACTGCAAAAGGACGCAACCGCTGTATAAAATATTTAATAAAATAATGTAGTTGCAATAGCAGTAAGAACAGTTGTCATCGAATTTTTAAGGTAGAAAACCACCAAAAACGTTGTATTAAACTATGACGTGTCCAACGATACTTTTAATCGATATACTACCAAAAAGTCCGTGGTGAAAAAGTCCGGTACATATTATTAGGTAAAAGGAAAAATATGCTGTGATGCACAAGCAAACTTTCAATTAGTATTAATATAAATTGAAACTAAATGATTTACCTGACGAAATAAATAAATAATCTTGTAGGTCAATATATAGGCTAAATATTCGCAAAATATATCGGTTGAATATATTATTCGAAATATTGTTATACATATCTTCATAGATACCGAATTTTTTTTTTTTAATAGGTAGGTAGGTATATTGTTTTATTGCCGATAGTTAATGAAACTGATAAGTATCATAAGTCATAATATTAGATAAACATAACAATCATTGAATTTTTTTTTTTTTAAAGATTGTTATACGTATATTATATTTACTGTAATTTTTTTTGTTAAGATAGTTAACTAGATAGTTGGGAAGATCTACTTTTCGGCCAAATTCAACCTTCCCGTGTACAGCCAATACGATAACATATATTTCGACTTCCACCGCCACAAATTTCGGTTTTTAACTTTTGGTAACCCATTGGTCATTACTATATGAAAACATGTTAAGTTATTGATGATCGATTATTAATAATTTTTTTTTTTCAAACACATTCACTTCATACTTATAAATTAAATGAATACTCTTTTATTGTACCTATATACATAGAAACGTGTTTATTTTTTTATTTTACATTACATTACGGGCTGGTGCCTAAGGTACAGTTAAAAGATAAATACATAACAAGAACAAATGTAATAAATTTAAAAATTTATTATTTCTATGCACTAGAGAAGTTCTCGTTTGATAGTCGCATCTTACGGTAGATAGGGTGGTTTCGGCGTTCGGCCATAATTAGTGGAACGAAGAGGGACAATAATTGGGAGCAGATAGCCTAAAAGATCTACACGGAACTCGAAAATTCACCTCTGCAAGTAGCTCGGGTGCATTAATGGAGCCGTTTACAAGTTTATTGAGGAAGTTGAAGTTGGCTAAAACTCTTCTGTCGGAAAGAGTAGTAAGTTTTAAATGGTTTAAGACGGGGGAATAATCATGCTGTTAGTGATCAATTTCTAGGATAATTATATAATTATATCTAGGTAATTATACAGATAAAACAAATGAAGTATATATAAATATGTAATAACATAATAACATTTATATGAATTGATTAATATAACGTTAATTATATATATATATATAAAAACTGGGGGACGAGGCGACCGAGTGGTCTGACTCTTCCGCTGCGACTCAGCCGGTCGCGGTTCGATCCTCGGCCACCGGGCGGCATTTTTCTCCGGACAAGTCGCGGTGACCGGAGAGCAAGTGCTGCCATCCCCCACCCCCGCATGGCAGAAACCTACGGGTGCCCCATTCGAAATTCTGCCAAAACAAACACACACGTGTTCCCCCCTACCGTACCAAAAACATACAAACCATCAATACAAAAACCTACAGTACCTACTAATAGCTAATGGCCACAGTTGCCGGGCTCAGGATCAATTAAAAAAAAAAAAGTAAATAAAGTAATATGTTTAATATTCAATTGTACCTATACAATTAAATTATATTATAAGGTAACCTAACCTAACCTACACAATTCAATTACACAAATTAGTATTTTAGTATTTTACAAGCAGGTATAATGCATATTATATGTTATCAATCTTTTATGGATATACAACTTAAACATTACTATCACTTACTGACTAATGATATTAATTTAAGCAACTTTAATTATTTTTAATCATTTCCTCAATGTATAATAATTGATTTCTTACAATAAGGGGTTACCAAAATATAAAAATTGAAATTTTTGGTGGCTGAAAATGGATATATATACATATTATTAAACTGACAGTAAACGGAAAGGTTGATTTTGGCGGAAAACGGTAATACCCGATAGTTGATAGGTACTTAACGAAACCGAGAAATCATTATAATACATCATGTTTATGATGGTAATAATACTAAGCACATAACTATAACTATTATGTTTTATTTTTTTAAATTATTTTAAATATTATTACATAATATTATGTAGGTATACCGATTACCGGACTTATTTACTCCGGACTTTTAGTCTTAGAACTTATCTACTACAGACTTTTTGTGGGCTTTTTACCAGGACTTTTTTATTCCGAACTTTTTTGCTGAGATTTGCGTAAGCATATGTTAATATGATAATATACAGCCATATAGGTTAGGCTAGCCTTTACGTTTATACCTACCTACCTACAGTGTTGTAAAGTACTAGAGTCTAGAGCAAAAGTATTTAAAATAATTTTTGCTCAGTACCTGTATTTAAAATCAAATACTAATTTTAAAATACTTAAGTAATTCTTTTTAGTCTTGTATAGTTTTTATTTTAATTTTGATCACGTAAAAGTAAAATACATTTAAAAATTTAAAATATACATAGGTGAATAGGTTACCGTGAATTACACTCAACCGAAAATCAAATACTTCGACAAAGAAAACAGTTGAGTATTTTAGCCAAATGATGCAGTGTAAAATATTTGCTTTATAAAATGAAAGGGAAACATGAAAATCGATTCAGTTGATTCAATTGATAGGTATATTATTACATGATATACGTGAATAAGACTTGGAAAAAAAATACTGATGTAACCTCTTAATGTTTTAATTTGTATAAGCTATAATTTACTGATAACTGATACAGTGATATAACAAACTTAAGTTAATAAACTATAAAGTCAACACTCTTATTAATTTTGATGAAATGCATTATTCTATTTACATAAAGCCATAAAGGTACAAATAATATAGCACGGTTATAACAGTTGGGTCTTAGGTATAGGTACCTAATTATAAAAAAATTTTTTAACCGATATGAAAGAGGCAAGAGCTTTTTGTTTTAAACACCTTGGCTCTCTCTCTAAACTCTTGCTCCAAAACTTACCAACGGTTGAAATTCCTGGCAATCCCTCCAAGACACATGAGCCCTGAAGCACAAATGGGGAGACTCGCTGAACTAATTAGTTAACTATTAAATTACATTAAATATTTAAACCATAAGAAGTGTCACTAATATTATATAGATTACGTCTTTCTTCAAGCTGTTCGTGTGCCTTCAATTTCCCTCGGCTTTCAATGTCCAAATATAAGTTATTCTACAAAAAAAATCAAACCGAGTAAAGTTAACGTCATTTCAACATATAAATGATTTTGTGTAACAAAGTTGAGGTACAAACTTAATGTAATAACTAAATAATAAAGTTAAGTTAAAAGGGAGGGAAACAGCCAGCAGGTAACCAACTCTCTGCAGTCTGCTGTAAAGGTGCCAACTGTCGAGTGTCCTCGGCATTACGTCACCGCGATAATGTATGTGTTCAATTCGGATTCATTGATAAATCATTGGGAACGAAAACCGAAAAAAAATGTTATAATAGTTCGTACAAAAAAATTGTATACTAAAAATGTATTGTTAATATTATAATAATATGTAACTCTCACAAACTTACATATTTGATGAAATATGTGATTTTACATTTTATTTTGGTAATATGAAGACATGAAGTTCATTATTACAAATCTATTTCTTCTTCTAGTCTATATTTATGCCTGTATTACCTATTATATCTTCTTAAAATATTACAATATAGTCAAAAATAAGGTAATAATTTAATATTTATTACTTAAAATAATATTAATGATATAATTTAAAATGCCCTAGGCTGACACACTGTCTTCACTCGGATTCGTTTTTCGTATACAATGATATATAGGTATCATTGAATACAAATTTAACACATCCATTACAGTGACCAACACGACACCTTCAGAACACCAGTTGTACCCATTGTTATTTTTTATTTATGTGATAGGTAGCCAATCCGTTTAGATAATGTCAGCGCACTTTTTGTTTCTTCTCTCTCTGGCCCAGGTGCACATAATAGGCAAAATGTCCCTAGTGTAAATTGCTTATGCAAAATAGTTGCTTAGAGTAAAACCACCCATCACGAAAATCATAGATAATATATTTTTGAGGGTAAGACATTTCGGTTTGTCTCAAAACAGTTTAATTACTATTAAAATTTACAAAAATAATTTTTTTAACTTGAAAGTCGAATTCAAAATCAAATAATGATAGAATATAAAACCCATATGCCAAATCCTCAATAGTATATATTGTGTGGCAAGAGCTGGAAATGAACTTTTTCAGTCACGGACGACGTGGAACATAAGACTTTCGCCCAAGACTGAAATTGCCTTACCGTACGATAGCCACACTATTTTTTATTACATATCTCCATCATCATAGTTCATCGATCACGACAAAAGGTCATGCAGGCCACAGGATCTATTCATCAACCAGATTACTCTACGAAATTTCATGATAGAAAAATGTTTATGAATCATGCAAGGAGGTTATTATATGAATATAAGATTGATTTCCATTTTACGGCCCCGCACTTTGAGGATTCCCACTTTACCACCCTCCGGACAAAAAAGGCCACATTCTAACAATTCAACTGTCATCGAAAACTGAACTTTCGACGCAGGGTTGACAAAAAAATATCGTCTTTAGTTATTGCAATAGGTGATTTTACTCTAAGGTTACTTGAAAATCATAAAAAAAACTATTTTATGTGAAGTATAAAGGTCCCCACACTGCAGCGGTAGAGGTAAAATTCTTTTGTCTTGGCGGTGCCGCCGCGGTGGCGGTAAATTGTGTCCGGACTCATTTTACCGTCACCGCAGCAATGTGTGAGGACCTTAAGAAAGAAAACAAATATTGCGCTATTGCGCAAACATTCTCTTAAGACGTATATGCATTTACGTCCTTGCTCGATAGTTTACTACAATTCAAACTTGAAACTTGATAAATATAAAAAAAAAAAAATAATAATACCACTAGGGGTGGGATGCTTCGGATCGTCAGCAGCCCCCACTGCTTGGTGGTTCTGTGCACAATGGTAGCTAGTATTATAGGTAATTTATAATATAGACTCTAATCGATGAATGCATTGATTTTACAAGTATATGTCATTTGTACGTCCATCGTCACTCATCCTCACCATTGGGAGCTGTACAAATACATTGATTAGCAGATAATTTTTAAGAAAGTTTTGAGTTATTTAACTTTGTATACTAAGGATAATTGTAAGACATAAGTCCGAAGTCCATGATAATGGGTTAGGAAAATGTAGAAGCTATGGTGATTTTAAAATCTTAGTACCTACCTAATTAATTAAAAGAAATTTATCTATATTAATAATTGATAAAAATGAAAAATGGTCTAAGTGTAATAACTAATAAGTAGGTGTCCATACCTACTATCCCATTATATTATTACTATTATTATGGAGTATAGGGACAAATCGCAGGGTGGCTTAGACCTCCCCCAAAATCCCATTAGCCTAACCTTTGCATATTAAATCTATTTTATTTGTTTTTCAGGACTATTAACCTTAGTCTAAACATTTTATAACTAAGAAACCAACTGTTCAAATTTTAAATTAAGTACCTACATCAACATTTTCAAACAAAATATACATAAGATGAACTTACAGTAAAATAGTGGGATTCTTATTTGATTTGAATTCAAAAATGAATAATTGTAAACTTGAATTTTTTACCAAATATTGTATATACTATTGTAAATTGTATATCCAGGGGTGTTTCCATAGGGTATACTACATATAGGCAGTCTGCTTACAAGATATTATTTAATTAATTATGAGTAGGGTTCGGGACTTTTTGCACTTAAGGTTATCGAAATATGCAGTCAAAATCGTCAAAATATACTTTAAAATATGCAGCTAATTTTGTATTTTGTTTTTAAAAAACGCATAAGGTATATTGTAAATTATTATTATAAAAATGAAAATTTAAAAATTAGGTAGGTATTAATATAATAAAAATGTTTTTTACACGGGTTACTCATCTCCATCTGTATCAACCCAGGATTCATAAGGTTTTACCACAAATATACAATTGTCGATATTGTCGATAAAAAGGTTGATTATTAAGCGATAAAGAGACTATCATCGTAAACAGACGTACGTTTTAGATACGAAAGACTACGACCATCCAATCATGATTTTTTCCGACAATTTTACATTTATAAAAATATAAAAATGTGAAATATGCCCAAATATGTTAAAAATTTCACAAATATGTGCTTTTCTTAAAATATGCAAAAATATGCAAATTCAAACTTAGTATTTAATTTCGTCATTTCATAAAACACATTTATAACTCACTTAGAATAGACTACGACCACTACAAAAATACATGCAAATGCAAGAAGTCCCGAACCCTAATTATGAGTATAGTACCGCTAATATAAGGTAGTATTTTGGTATTTGACAACTTAGAAATTTAGTATATTCTCAAAAATATTAATGGAAACATTTTTGTGTACATCTACATTAGTATTTTCTTATTTTCTAAAAATAATAAATGTTTTTAAAAATATTTTACTCTTTTTGTACTTTTTAAAAATTAAAAATTTTTGATTTAGTATAAAACTATAAAAGCTTGGCAGTTTAATATAATATTCCTCATAAGTGGTTCTTAAATTTTAGATATTACCTACAGCAATAAAAAAGACATGATTTGTCAAAATCATTAAAATTTACAAATTGTTTTGTAGTAAAAAATGTAAAACGATGAAAAGGGACATCATGTTGTTTAAATATTTTATATTTCGCCGATTGAGAACTATCGTTTAATTCAAAACTTCAATAATTGTATTGCGATAAGTAGTTAAAACAACGAACAAAGTACTGTACAAAATGATAACCTATATTAGGTGCAGTATACACTATTGTATATATAAATATAAAATATACCTTAGCTTTTCAAATCATCATACAAATGGAGTCTATTTTTTACTTACCTTTAAACAAAATATTATTAGAAGAAAAAAGTACAGGTATTCAACTATAAAATCAATAACAGTAATCAATATACAGAGTGTCCCGTGAGGATTTACCATTGCGATATCTCTTGAAATAATTGAAAAATCATAATTCTGGTTTTTAATAAGGCTCATAGAGACAAGAACTGCAAATATTTCATATGTTAATGTATTTTAATGTTTTGGTAAAAAAGTTATATTTTTTTGTATTTAATTATTTAAAAAAAAATTGAAGATAGCCATTTTGTAGAGTTAATTTTTCTACAAATATTGACATTATGATATTTCAATAATCTCCTGGTTTTTAATATTTTTTCTAGTTTCGAGAAAAATTACTGACCACACTGAAAGTGTTTGCCGGCTGTACGAACACGAACCACATGTTTGATACCACTATGGTATTAAATAATTAGCAATTTTTCATGAAACTAGAAAAAATATTAAAAATCAGGAGATTAATGAAAATAAAATGGTGAAACGTCAACATTTTCAGAAAAATTAACAAATACTTTTGTAAAATGAATTCTACAAAATGGTTATCTTCATTATTTTTTTTTAAATAATTAAATAAGAAATATATTTTGTAACTTTTTTACTAAAATATTAAAATTAATTAAAACATGAAAGTCAGTGTTGTCCCTGTGAGTCCTATAAAAAAAACTAGAACTATGATATCTCCATTATTTCAGGAGATATCGGTATGGGTAAATCCTCACGGGACACCTGTATAATATGTATTATTTTCAAAATAGGTAAATTATATTAGGTTAGTATATATGAACTGTTATGTGTCATTATTATTAATCCAAAAAATATTTATTAGCATCAAATAGTTTACCTTATTATGTACAAAAACATAGATAAAAATATAGTTAAAATTAAAACGTTAATACATTTTAAAAATTAGAATATTAAATTGATAATATAATACTAAAAGACATAACTAAAAATTATACTATTTTATACCTTCTTCATCTTAATATACTAAAATAAAGTACAATTAAAAATTAACCAAGTATAAGATAATAATATTTAACATTAACATATACCATATAGTATACACTACACATAACATATTTTAATAAAAACTATTTAAATATTTTTTTTCAAATATTGCTTGTAGATTCTTCAATTAAAAATGTTAATTTTTTTGTACAACAAATGATTTAATGACTAATAAGTAATGCGTGATTTGTATGATAAAAAAAGACTTTTTATTTAACAAAAAGGTTAGTAACTGAAATAAAAATATGTCACCTGTTTATAATTAAAAAAATCAACTAATAAGCCAAATGGCAGTTCACAATTGTTCAAGATAAAAATCAAATTCTTAATTACAATTATTTTTTTAAATATACATATTAGCCTTCATTACAAATAAATAAAATTACTATACAGCTAAAATTTCCCAATTTTTATCTGAAACTAACTTAATTTTATTCCATAAATTTGCTGCAATTTCACTGTCGGTTTTTTCATCTGTATTAAACTCAAAGTAAGCTAGTTTTTTTGTGGTTCTGTTAAATGTATCTGTTGACATAAGTTAAAAAACCATTGCATAATAAACTATATTCATTATAAAAGCAGATACCATATTCAAAATAAGTGAAATCATAACCAAACAAAATATAACTTTTAGACTGAAAAAAAGGAAGATGACGTAGAAGTCATCACCAACATGTACAAATTAAATCGGTTTTTAATTTTAGAAACTAAATGTTGGACCTAAATTTGTATTATACCTATAAAAAAACTAACTGCACAAAATTATTTAACATTAAATACTATACTCTGTTTCATATAAGAATAACCTAGGATGGCAACCAATTTTTGTCCCACCTTGAACTCTTCTTTTTCGACAAAAAAAAATACTTTACTGTGTGTATGAAATAATAAAGTAATTCTTGTCACTTATTTAACCATTTGTTGGAATTACCCACAATGTGTTTTTCCAAAAGTGATAAAAAAGAGCAAAATATGCCTTTATCCCCGAAATATTTAAAATAAAATAAGTGTCAATATATTCCAAATTGTATGAACTATGAAGCGTACTTAACTATAGTAAACTTTTTGATATTTAAACTACATAAAGAATCCGTTTTCTACTTGTCAGTTACTAGTTTTCACATTATATGAATACCTATAAAACAAAAGGATACTTACATCCTTTTTGTGTAGTTGCATTTGCACCATTGGAATAATCAAAATATATCTTCAACATATTCTTATAAGTAATGAATGTTTTTCTAAAACAAAATAAAATAAATCAATTTTACACTAAATTTTATATAATAATATAAACTATCTTTACAAAATTATTGTATGCTCATTAATCACAAAGAAAAATCAATGTTAAGAATGGTTATGACTAAGGTCCAGATTTATATGCTTTTACATATCGTTATTGATGGAAGGACAGGGTTAAGGAATTATTAGAAGAAATGAATGGGACTGAGAGTGGGCATATGATAGAGAATGATGGACATAGTTTTGGCGGCCAAGAGTTTAAATGGCTTGTGAAAAGCCTAAAAAAAAAACACATATCCTTATTGAGTTTAGGCAGTCTTGCAAGAGTAAAAAATGTACATCCAGTGATAGTACTATTATGACGCTGTGCCGTTATATATTAGTTTACCTAACCTATACTGATAACAACAGCATATTCGCTTATCAAAAGTTCAAAGATATTTTGGTTTTGCAGTTGCATGTTTTTAAGTTTTTAAAATTAATAAAATACAAAAATGTATCAATTTTTACATTCTTTCGTATAATGGAATATGGATGTTCTAACCGTTCTGATCCAACACAGAAAACATTATTTTAACTGTTACTACAGTACAATTATTACATGATGCAAGTGTATAACTATTTAAAAAAAAAATTACATATTTAAGCATATAATTAGACTTACTGCATATTTATCTAATTTGTATAAGGATATAAGAAGAATATGTGTATGTAATTTAGAGAATATTAGCATCATATTTTAGATATTTAAAGAGATTATAAATCCGGACTTTAGTAATGAAAATTACTTTTTACTGTTGTAACGTATGTCACATCATTACGTCTATAAGCATCATAATATGCCTATTGTGCATATTATGATGCTTATACCATAATATATCAAGCCCCTCCGGTTAAGGTGCCACTTATATATTTTATTTTATTGTAAGGCTACGGCCAATATCGATATGTAAGAAACAACCAGTTCCCCGCGATTCCATCACGCGCACCTGAACTCGGTACAGACCCACATTTTTGGTAACGTTGTTAGTATTTCGTAAGTAATAATAAATTTGTCTGTATTAATCATAATCTAAATCAATTGTTATTTATTTGTAATATTAAGATCATCCTAATACAACTCGTGCTCCTGAGCTACGGTAAAAATATATTCAAAAGAATTAATTTCTTCCCTGAATATTTTATATTTAACGGGTCATCCCCGACCACGTTACATATTGGTGGAGGCGCCGGGCACTGGTTGTTTCTTACATATCGATATTGGCCGTAGCCTTACAATAAAATAAAATATATAAGTGGCACCTTAACCGGAGGGGCTTGATATATTATGGTATAAGCATCATAATATGCACAATAGGCATATTATGATGCTTATAGACGTAATGATGTGACATACGTTACACTGTAGCTCAGATAATCTATAATAATGAGTTGCATTGAATGTAATAAGGTAAGACAATGTTCATGAATCTGATTTAATTATAGACAAATGATTAGCATTAATATTTTATTGTAGAAATTATAAATCATATCATTATAAAATGTATAGGAATTTAATGCTATATCACATAGTTATTTAATTTTAACAAAAAAACAAACTTACTTAGTATGGGAGAAAATATCTAGGTCAGCGGTACTTAACTTCATTTTGTTATATTTTTTTAAGTCAAATTCTGTTGATTGTAGTATACTGTTCAGACCTTCCACTTTATTCTTTAAGTCATGCTAAAACAAAATTTTAATCATGTTGATGTAATCTGATATGTTTATTCTCAAAGAAACAATGTTTAGATATAGAAAACATTTTTGTATAATTAAACCATTAAATAATTAACTCAAATAAAACAATAACTATGTAAGAAGTATTTTTATGTATACATATAAATACAATTATTGAATTATGTGAGCATAATATTTAATAACACACATAAAACCTTGTGGGCTCAAAAATCAGGTTCATATATACATAGATATTAAAATACACTAACTCATAACACATTGAAAATTCACTTCACCCACATTTTCATTTTATCAATAAATGGCATGTTAAAAAGGTCCAAATTACATTGGCGAGTACAATTTAAATGTATTCTTAATCAAAATTATAAACGAGAAAACTTACTAAGCATGCAACATGTAATTTGAATTTGAAATAAGGCAGAGTTAATAAATATGGATAAAAACGTTCTTCTGAACACTCACTCAGTCATGCTTAAAACTTACATATTGATATCATAGCATTTACTTTAGTCAAGTTTACAACATTTCGAAAGTAGTTTGTTGAAAATTTCAAGAAATGATATTCACAATGTTTCAAAACATGGATGTAAACAAAAAATCAATAGTTATAAATATAAAAAAATCAGATAGTCTTATTTTTACTTTCATCTGCATTTGAAGAGCCAACTCCGACATGAGTTTGACTCGTTCTCTTTCAATAATGTTCAACTGTTCATCGTAGTGATTTATTTCCTTGTTGGTCTCTTCTAGCCTGACCTTTGCATCTAAACAAGATGTATAATATACACAATACACATAATAAACATTATTGAAGATCTATAATACAATGAAATCAACTTTGTTTACCTTCATATTCTAAATGCGATTGCTCAGATAGTTTCAAGAGTTCAGCAAATTCGTCCGATACATCAGTAGATGACTCGACATCTAGGTTCACATTACGTACGATTTGTGAAAACATATTAAATAACTATTAATAACCTGGTCCGAAACCCGGTTCAAATATTTTTAAATATTAATCGTATTCTTATTCGTAGTTCATACTGAATACGATTTGGCAATTACTAATTTAAGTAATTTATCTATTCTGTATTTCTGACTTCTGTGTACCTTTGTATTTTGTAAAAAAACGGTTAACTGTCGAGGATATCACCAATGATGCCAACCTTGCAAGACATGGAATGCTTATAATTCCTTGATAGGGTCTTATCGCAATTATTTTGTAGATAATAATAAATATATATTATGCTGATAATATGTTTTTAAGATCGTCAAAACTCAAAATAAGTTTTCAATGTAAAGTTATTATAAACTTCAGGAAAAATGTTTTTCTGAAATCAGTAATATCTAATACAAAATAATAAGTAAGTGCAAACCTCAATTTAAACTACAGGAATTGTTATACAAGCTACAAGTTGCCTAAAACCAATATCTATGCTATTAAACAGTTTAATGCCGGGTTGCATGAACAATCACTAAACTTTTAACAAGTCAATAGTGCACTAATGGTCCTTTTAACATGATTTATTATTCCATTAAATTTTATTGGACTGTTAAATTAAAAAATTTTCATGCAACCCGACATAAGAGTCTTAAATTATAATATTGTGATTTTTGATTAATCTAGAAGTTGCGTGTATACCTGGAACGGCTTTGGGAAAAAATTATAATGTTTTTGACGAATGTGTTACTGAAAAAAGTAAAATCCAAGCACACTATGGTGCTAATGGAAAGCATGGTAAGCGGTCACAAGTACAATGTGTTCAGAGAACGTTTAGCAGACAAACTGGAACTTGTACATTTCGACCCATGGATAGGCCAAATGTCCGTCTACAAGGAAAGGAAAAAGATAAGAAGTGCAAACGTTAAGAGGTTCACAGAGCCTACATAATAATTGTATTTATAATTCATAAAATGTAGAATAATTGTAAGCATTTATTTTTTCAAATTGTTAAATATATAGGTACCTAACATTAATTTTACTAAAAGCCTTTTGATTTGAGTTCCATGGATAAAAAAGCCTTCATGTTTGGATCCTGTATTTTGTCTAACACCATTTGTGAAACTTGTTTGCTATCACTGTTTGCTAGTATACTTCTGACTTTATCCGCATACTCGATCCAGACGCAATTGGCGCACCCCGACATACAACACGTTGTTGGTTCTTCGGGTAATTCTGATGGTTGTGAACAGAATCTTTTGAGACATATTACACGGCTGCTATTCACTAACCTCCATTGAGATAAAAGGAACATCTTTTAATTCTGAAAGCATAAAACATATATTCATACCTAAATTACTGAAACACAGTTATGGGCCACATACAACCATTGATCAAGGGTTTGTTTATGCTACAAGTATGATATTGATATGTCTATTATAAGCTCATGAAAAAATGTATTCATTAACCTCACAGCTTCTTATCAAATATTGGCCTCAACCACCAAAAAGAATGCGCTATGCAGCTAGTTTAATTTATACAGGGTGCTTCATCCATAGAATTATTATATATATAATTTAATAATTATAAGTCTATGTTTTCACCAAACATGCTCACACCTTCCCATCCTTTTAATATCCTTTAAAAGTACAGTTATAAAAATGTTCAGTGCTACTTTTATTTAGTCATGACCAATACTTCAAGACCATATTTTCAGAAGCTTAATTTTTTATACTCCATCTATTGGGTGTTGATACAGACTTTTTTGTCAAAGGTGGTTCACCTTTTTACTGTAAATAGTTATAAACGGATGATTTTTTTCAGATATTAAGATGCGCCTAAATCAAATTTCAAATGACCTGCTTCTAAATTATTTAACTTTACTCAGGTCTAGGATCTGAGGATAATAATCCTTAATGTTGGTTTTACATACATTTTAATGTAGATATAATACATAAATATTGACGGTATTGTGTTAAAATGGCATAAACCAAATTTTAGGAAACAAATAAAACTGATAAAATACTCAATTTTTAAGATGGAATAATATGGTAATATACAAACAGCTAAAATCACAATTATTGTTACCAACTGTGTAGGTTGTAAACAATTAACATATACATTTGATGTGGTATAAGCCCTTTCAATAGTTCTGTATAGATTATTATAATTTCTAAAAGGGCGCCTGGATATATTGTATTCGGTATTGTTATCTTATTTTTCATAGATGTATATGCCGTTTTACCAGATTATTTTCTTGATTTTTCTGCAAATTTTGATACCAAAAATGTATTTTTCAATTTTTAGTGGTAAATGCGCATTTTAACAAAATACTGTTGATATATTATACATATATACATATTATATAGTTATAGATATAATATAATATTTTAGTCTAAAAAAAATACTGATTACAAATTACAAAATGCATAAAAGTCCCCACACACTGCAGCGGTAGCGGTAAAATGAGTCCGGACACAATTTACCACCAAGACGAAAGAATTTTACGGCTGCAGTGTGTGGGGACCTTAATATATATTATTATTAATAATTACCATAATGTTTAAATAATCATAATTTATAGCTCCCTAAACCATAAAATGCAATTTAGCCCATTATGATAGACATTGATCCTTAGTACATCATTTTTAATAATCCAGAAGCTTTTGAATTATGTACATAAACTCTTTTATTTAGAAAATCACCTGCTTCACAATTTTCAATAAAGGTAGTTCACATTTATATATTAAAGTAAGTATGTTTGCCATAGGACGCACTACTGAAACGGCATAAGAAATTTTAATATTTAAAAATATTATGGTCTTTAAGCAGTGGTGCAACTAGAAAACAATTTTTTTTTTGAGGGGGGGAATATTGTTTCAATACATATATGATATATACATAAAATATAACAAGCAGGCAGCAAAACACCAAGATTTTTAGGGCGAGGTATAACACACAGCCCCCCCCCCCCCACACACACACACACAGCGGTTGCTCCACTCTTGAAGTATGCATATAACCAAAAAAACTGGTATTAATTAAGTTAATTATTAAACCAAAATTAGGAGTGATCATACTTGGTAAATCATCGTGAGCATAATAATGCATTTGATAATTTATATATAATGTTCATAACTTGAATGTATTTAACATCAAAGCAAAAAAAATGGTGTTTATAATTGTTTATGTACACATTTATTATTTTATATCGATAATTATATTATAATTTATAATATAATATGTTTTAAATATGCCTTAAATATCAAAGAATATAAATTATTGTCTTCATTATATGTAAATATTATTTATTTATTTATTCATAATACTGAGCAAATATTTTTTATAAATAATAATACACATGTTGTTATAATAAACACAATATATATAAGCAAAAAAACCATTTTATTTTGATATTATTTTATTATACATCCAAAACTAACAAATAATAACTATGAAAAAAAAAAACAAATGGCAAACTCTTGGTAAAGTACCTACTGAAATATTAAGAATAAAATAATAAATCTGATATCAGGATAACATTTTTTATTCAAAAATACAACCTTAAGACTCGTTTAAGAAGTAACCTTGGCCATGGTAACAATCAGTCAATATTCCAAGTTCATATCATACTTCTCAGTTTTTATTTATGCTATATACATCATTACAATTTAAGATTATTCAATCATAATTAATTTTACATTTTCACGTTATATTTTCTACAATCAGACTAGTGACTTTTCTATAAAATATTTACTTGTTCAAAATGTAATGCCAATCAAATAAAAAATTATTTTTATAAGAAAATGGTGCCCAAAAAATTGATTTCAAATAATACAAGTTCTAACAATGATATAAATATAAATAATAAGCTTATCACATATCAAATTCATATAATATAATACATGTAATAGAATTATATTTATTAGTTGACAAAACAACAAAAATCAAACAAAAAAAGTAACAAAATATTTGCTAATTTATAATTATGTTATGGTTAATACTGATTTGTTGTATTTTTGTATTCAAGTATAATCATTTAAATTGATATTTGGGTACAAGAAAAAAAATTAGGTATACAATTTTTCATATATTCTACAAAAGAATAATTGCTATTTACATTTGCATAATAACAGCATATAGTATATATTTTAAAGGCAAGTCACATGTAACATGTTCTGTTAAAATTCATCGATATTATTCTTTTTACATAAAATTAATTATATCAGTGTACAAAAAATATAGTATAATATGAATATATATAATAATGTGTAACAATAAATACTGTTTCATCATAAATTAAATTAAAAATATCAATGCAAACACATTTATCGTTGTTAAAATACATCTATCTGTTTTGACATGGTACAGTATATACTTCATAAACAGTTACACTTTGTTATATACTTGTTTTATATAAATAAGGTTATAGGTACACAGATACGACATCAAGACAGACTAATAACATTCTAGTTAAAATTTTATAGTAAAATATGTTATGTACAAAGACAACACAATTCATTAGGTCATATCCATTCATTGTAATAAAATACATAGGTAGAAAATAAATTAGTTACCTATTAAAAAGGAAAAAATGCTTAAAAAAAATCACAGTAAGCTTTAGACAACGCTGAAAGCTTTGAGGTAATTTCATGTACTCCTGTACTATTTTCATTGTAATATTGTGTGTTGGTATTCTATAAATCACCTAAATTCGTAGATCTGAGTACTGTGTTCTGGGACATGGGTCAAGCATAATGTTTGATACCTATGATATAAATATTAATTTATAATAATAAAAACAAAATAATAAGCAAAACAATGTCTCACCATTCAGAACTCCTATGATAGTAATACCCTTCGATAGAAGAAGTTGATTTCTGAAAACATATATAATAGAATCCAGCAAATGATGCACCACTGATATCACGTATTGTGTGATCAGGTACTAAAAAATGTTCCTTCCACCGCATAAATACATGATCGGCATTTTTCAGTTTGTCATAGTCAAATGCATCCGAATTGAATGTCTTGGCGTACTGACAAAATGCAGCAAATTTGTTCTGCAAAATTAAAGAATTATGTAAATATAACAATATAATATTCGGTAACGACTGGTGCAAACACTACAAACCCAATGTTTCTTGTCAACTTCTTCATCGGCATCCCACTTTCTCGTCAAGAATGGACACTTTTTGTTGATAATTTCTCCATCAAAATAAGTAGTCAAATTGGGAAACTCTTCAGTGAGACCTTTAATTTTTAGATAACCGCACAGATAACCGTTTTGTTCGTCGACATACTAGAAAATGCAATGCCGAGCGTATCGCGTTAACATAGATACATTTGCACAAAAGCGATTAGTGCTATTTTATATATAGGTAATATTAAAATGAAAACAATAAATTTGTGGAGGGTACATGAAACGTACAAGACGTAGATCGCGAACATAAGAGTACATACCTGCAGTACGACTTCCACCTCGTAGCTGTTGCCCTTGGACCTCTGGAACCCTTGAAATTTCGATCCGCTGTACAGTATAGACCCGGTGACCCCTAGTTGCTTCGAGTTGGCCGGAGGTCTAGGCGTTATGTCCACTTTGACGGGCATACCTAGGGCCGAGGGATCCTGCACAAACACACACACGAGTCGGACAGTTATCAATACGCCTATAACCGTCGGGGCGTTGTTGTTCGGTCACTGGCACACTCGCTGTTTGTTTTTGATTTCGATCGTTGTTATTATTGTTTTAAGCGCGGTATTGTGTGGGCAAAATATTCGAAAAACCTAGTGCCGCGGCGTCGGCGACGGTGATCTGGGGGCGACCGCGCGCGCGCGCGTCAAGACGGGTCGGGCTGACGGGGGTGGGGTCCCGGTGGCGGGAGAGCGCGGAAATTAAAAGTCGTGTGGGAAAACGACAAGGACGTCTGGCCCGATAACAGAGCATCGTAATCGCAAAACGGTAGCGAGTAGTTGTGAGCGACTGGCGATCGTTCGGGCTATTATAATATTGAATGTTATGACAATAATAACGAATAATAAGGTCATTCGGACAATCCGAACGACGGCAGTAATAATAATAATTTGATATTAATGTCGTACGTACCTGATTTCGGGTGTTTGTGACGTACGATTACGACACCACGGGCACGAAAGTACGAGACGACAGATAACTCATAAAATACGACATAAATATTAAATATATTTATTATATAATAATATTATACACAGCGTCACCGCAGTCCGCGGACTCCGCCGCACAAACGGTGTACAAAGCGCGGACACGCGATAACAAAGTCGGGCCAGCTTTGTGGATTGTTTTTATTTTTCTCGAGCGTAAACGCCGGCGAGGTGATGATCCACAACTCCCAAACGTCATTACGCCGTTGCTCGTGCACTACACATTTACCACGTCATGTTTCAAACACGCGACGAACATAATATTTTGAGAGAATCGTTTCTCTAATGTTTATGATTAGACCTAGAAAGTTTTGATATAATATCAAGGCTCTCTAATTATACCTCTCTTAGTCTCTTATTAGACCAGCCTTGCCAGGCTGCAGATGGTACTAACATTGTGAGTCCGAATTTAATTCACTGGGTCGAACTAAGCGTATTAAGCATCATAAGCGTGGCCAGACATTTATTGCACGTTCAATATTTATGCACCCACCGGGCCAGGGTTGGATTGGGGAGAGATTCCGGCCCACCTACTAATTTATCAAATATTGAATTGCAGTAAACATGTGTTTATGTGTATTATTATTTTAACATGACTACAATTTTTGTTTAGGTACACATTTGGCGAGATATGCATTTTATACAGCTTTATTAGTATATACATCACGAACTAAGATAGATAAATCCATCTTAGTTTGTGGTATACATCGATATGAACTTTATTCTATATTTTTGAACAGCTATGTACACGTTTACAATAGCCTACGTACCTACCTCTGCCCTATATTAACACAATAAAAGTGAATAAATTAAATTATTTATGTTACGACTTATGTATTTAATAAAGAAAGCTGATGCAAAAATAATAATGTGCTTTAGCAATTGAATTTTTTAATAATTTCATCATTATCTATTTCGTACAGAACATCTTCTAACGCCATGAGCATAAATGTGTCTAATTTACTACCACTTTATGTAGGTAACCTACCTAATAAATTAACAAAACCAACACGTAAAATATACGTAAGTATATCATTTTATTTCCTTAATATTGTTTTTCTATGGTTGCAATCGTCAAAATTAAGTACCTTCTTCAATTATAAACAACTAGAAAATGAAAATACTTCTTCAGACAAAAGGACACCAAATATTATTGTTTACATTATAAAAAATAAGCTGGTAGGTATTTTCAATCTTGTATAGCCGTATAGGTGCACAGATTCTAGCTTCAGACGTTTCATGCTGAATAAGATAAATTCAGTACATTTTCCAATAGTATTTACTCTATATTTAAAAAATAGGATTTGAAGCCTACTTCACCGGACACCTTTTTTTCAATTATTTCCCCCCAAACTAGTGTACTGAATTAAAAAGTGTTTGAAAAAATTCGCGGAAAGTTGACTATCCCGATGATAACACCGCGAAGACACAACACATGTGTATTTTATTTGTTTTATGGACGTATTATACTTTGTTTATCTCAGTTTGAATACCAATAATGCATTAACTCCTGCAAGTTTGTAACCGGCGTAACCATAGGTACAGGGAATTGTTGAGATTTTTTTTTAAATTTATTTTTAGATTTTAAAAGAAATTTTTCTTTTTATAAAATGTCTTTGAATATATCATTCATATTTGTACGTAAAAAGGAAAACATTTCTTAAATTTAAAATTAACAAATTATTTTATAGGTAGACAGGTAGTTAAAAATGTATTAAACGTTATTTACTTTTATAGCTAAGGATTATTTGTAATACTAGGTTACACGTAAGTAACCAAATAATCTAAAAATATATAAACACAATTTTTTTATAGTTTTTTAGTTCAAATTTGGACGACATTACAAATATTTAAACCAGACATGCCAAATGCAACATTAAAAAATAGTAGGCACAGAATGCAAACATTATAATAATTACAAAGACCTAGCATATAGGTACATAATAATGTGAGATCTAAATGACAGACATCTAACTTATTGGTAATATATTGTACATTGTACTAATATTATGAACAACATCGTAATAAACGACATGCGTAGGTATACAATGGTGGTTATACTGGTTATTAATTCTCATACTGACAAAACACGAATGAAGTTATAAGCATATGGTCTACAAAGTATATTATATTAGGTGGTACAATAGTTTTAAAAAAAATGTGACAATTTTATAGTTGTAGTTTTTTTTTTGAAATGTATTACAAAATATTTAATTCAACTATGCAGCATAAAAAAACGAATAAAATACAACTTATCAGTAATGAAATGTCGATAAGTCGTTTAAACTACAACTTTGACTCGTTAATCGAATTAAAATTAAAAAGTATAAATATTGTGGAAATCGAGCAAATTTAATTTTTAGTAGGTAAAACAGTATATATGAGCATATTATATTCTCTTTGGAAATAAAATTGACCTCCTACAAATCTCGTATGCGTTTTCTTCGTTGTCCAGAATTATAATACGTTTGTCTGATTTCAAATTTTCGTCTTCAGTATAGTTTTAATTTCTCATCGATCATTCTTTCGTTCAAAAAGTTATATTCGTGCCATCGAGTCGGTGGAGGGCAGAGAGTACTCTATGGTGGAGGCCAAGCCAAGCTAACCTCAAAATAAAAATAAACCGCACAAATACAAGAAACAAATTTACTTCAATAGGCATGGAAATGGAAAACCGAGTGACGACGGCTAGAAGTGGCTCACCTCGGGAGTCGTTATCAGTCGGACAGACCTCAGGAGCAGAGGAGGACAGCCAGACCTTAAATACTGGTAATGTTACTAGTGCTGAGACAGTCGTATCCACAGTGGGCACGCAATCCATACGCGGTGATCCGAACGAAATCTGCTGGCGAATGCCGGAAACGACGTTATACCAGTGCAGGAACAACTGATTCGCGACCATTCGTATTCGACTATATCACTTGACTCGAACGACAATTCAGAAGAGTGAAGACGATGGCAAAAACGACTGCCACCTGAGCAAATCGCTGGAAATCGTCTGTCGTCCTGTTCGATTCCGCGACGGAAATTGTGGCAGTAAGTATCCGGCGTTTCTACAGGAATACAATTTACCTCGATGCATGGAAGATTGGTGCCGCAGAACAGAGAGACGGATCGGTCCTCCACTTCTACGACTTCAATCGAACAGACTTTAAACAGCGGCGACTGGTGGCCCTCAAAAGAAACACACATCGTATCCATTGGAAGATGGTCGAAGCTGGCAATCGGACGTGAACCGATCGTGGCTTTCAGATGAGGAGCTGCAACCGGACATACCTAACCGAGGAAGTGCATCGTACGAAATGCTCGTTGCAATGGCACGCTCGGATGAAATGAAACTCCTTTACAGAGGGTATGAAAAAAATTCGCAAATCACGGTAAAATATTACATTATTGAATTGGAAAAATTTTCAATTGAAATTAATAAATTACTATTACACAGAGATAAAAGAAAATGTACTTATTACCATAGAAACCTAACGGTCAAGTAAGTTCAATGCTCATAGTTCTTATAATCTTGTACTACTTTAGTACGGAAAACGGCAAAAGACAGAGGGCGCTTTTTGACGACTCCATGAATCGTACGCACAGTAATGCCATGTAATACGGTACCGTATGTTCGTATGCAACTTGTTGTCCATACCAAATTGAAGGGTTAGGTACGCGTACGATTCAGTCTAAAGCACTGTCTTATATATAGTCGTGGTCTAAAGCTAAACTCTACAATAATTATTGTAAATATGCACGCTTATCGTTCAAAATAGTCTACATCACTGCCTTCACTGGGAGATGTTTTACCGCCGCCCGTAATGCTGTTGTCACACACATTACTTGTCTAGTAAGACAAGTCAAGTTAGCTTTCATTTTAAGCGTTTAAAGTTCAAATGTTGACAATATTTAATAATTCAATTCAAAATGTACAAAATATTTTGTAAATCGATATCTATTTTGTAGTCTAAAATGTATATAATGTTCAACGTTTATGAGTTACAAGTTTACAACTAAGGATTAAAAATTTAAAACGAAGTTCCACGTAACTATTCCTTAACCCAAAAGTTAAAATATATATAAACACAGTTTTTTGTATAGTTATTTTAAGTTCAAATTAACGAAAATTCGTTAATCCATGATTTAGATTCTGAGCAGAGTGATGAATGTATTGATTTTCCAATGATGTATCATACATCATGTATGTTTATTTATTTATTTAAACAATTTTTTTATGTAAGACATCACGTTTTGGAGGGCACTAAAAGTGCTTCAATTTTCTTCAACGGCATCTTTGGGGGGTCAAAAGTAAAAAAAAAAATCATAAGAGTAATCAAAAGTGGAAGGAAATACAAACAAAAAATTAAGGAAAAACGGAATTTTTACGCAAAACCAGTTTTTGACAAAATCGATTTTGGTTTTTGGTGTAACTCTTAAAAAAATGACTGTAAATACATGAAATTTTCACTGAATATTTAAAACTGCGTTTTCTATACACCACAACATTTTCAAAATATGTGGACTCGTGTCAAACAATTTATGGGTATATGACATTTTCGACTGTTATTTGTTTTTTTTAAGCCAATATCGATAAAAAAATATTTTGCTAGGTCAAAAAACTTGAAAATGTATACAGGGTTCCTCGTAAGTTTTTGTTAGTGAAAAATAAAAAAAGAGTTGAGAGGAATCCACAATAATTTTTTATGAGCATTTGAATTTTTGAATTTGGACAAATTTCGTAAAAATTACGAAAATTTGCAAATGTATTTTAGTTAGAAATTCATAAAAATATTTCTTTTTTTTAGAAGATTTAAAAATGTAATACGAGATTCCTTCCAAGTTTGTCTATATTTATCAAAAAAAAATATTCTACCTAAAATTCAAATTAAATTTTTAATTTAAAGTGCGTTTAAAGTTGACATTTTTACAACATTGAATATTCACTTCATTTCTCATACAGTGATTTTTTTATTTTATTGTAATTAAAAATCGAATAACTGCAAATACTTGAAATTTACACCATATGTTTATATTATCAATTCATATTCTTGATAAAATCTTAAATTTCTATAATTGTCAATAAAATGTTATTTGTGGGCAGTGTACATGGTTTCTGAAAGGGGGTGATCAAATCTCCATGATAGGTGCAATAAAATATTAATAATCCCGTGGGTGTTTCTTTTTTTAGATTTCAGATAAATGAGTGGTATGTATAGTGTATACGCGGCGAACTAAACCGTAGCGGCAGTAGCTATAAGATCTCATTTCTCATAACTTAATAGCAATGATAATATCCGCTAACATTTTAAACACAGTGTAAGTATAGCCCATTTAGTCGAGCCTACATACATATTATATTTAAAGTAGTGTGTCTAATGTCTATAAATAAGAAGATAACCTATAATAAAGTATAATCATAGTCAGTGATAGTCATCATCGACCATTTCGACCAAATAAATAATTACTTTGCTATACACAAAATAAAATAAAATAATATTGGTATTCAGAAGGTATTGACAAAATTGTCAAGTCAATAGCTCGATAGATCATAATATGACAAAATTTTACATTATAGTGTATACTACAAAATGTAAGTAAAAACAAAAAAGAATAAAAATTTAATTCAATACTTCTGATATATTATTACAATATCAGTTGAAAAATATTAAAAATATACAGGCACGAATATATAAGCATTTTAAATTAAAATTTTGACCAAATTCATATCATTCAAAACTTACAAATAATTGTTGGGTTAAAAATTTTAAAAATATCAAATTTTATAGCTAATAGCTGAACATTTAAAACAAAGTTCCATGCAGGTAGGTATAACCAAAAAATCTAAAAATATATAAGTACAATTTTTTTTTCAAATTTGGACAAAATTACATATTAAATAACCAAAATTAATGATTTATGTAATTTTGTTGCAAAATTAAAAATATTATTCGTAAATAATTGATACTTTTAAGTTATATTATTATATTTTATACACATAATGACTTTTCAAATGTATTTTTTTTTGGCTAAAATGATTTTACTGCGTAGTACTAATGCTTACTAGTAAAATGCATTATTTTTATCAAAATGATATCATCAAATATACTAAATTACCAAGTAATATTATAGACTGACAGACCGTCTTCGCTCAGAATCGTTTTAGTAATTTAGGGTATTATGATTTTATATCATTGAATTCAAATTTAACACCATCTATTAAAGTATCCACTTGTAACCTTCTGTATAACAGAGCGACATCCACTTAACCACTTTTTTAATATTATTTTTCAATATTTTTCAATACATTTATCCTCATATAGCTGAACTTTTACTAAAAATGTACAACAGATTTGATTGTTTTTGTTCTCACACGATGTCTTAAGTAGTTATATGCTCAACCCTAGTCACTAGATAGGCCAAGGAACATTATTGAGCTAGTGTTTTATTGCATATTTTTCTTCCGGGTAATTTAAGGGGATTTCCTATTCACCACGATATGGCCAGAACGTATGCGAGGATATATTTTTTTCATAAGATATTAAGATGTAATATTAATAACACTAAATGTATAATTTAACACAATTTGTTTTTCCTTTTAAAATAACAAAGACATTCTATCATCTAGTCGCCTAGACTGGAAATAGATCGTCCATACTAAATGTCTCGAATACTGGTTTGATAATACCCATAACTATAGTACCAACAGTGTCTTCAAGTAACGGCCTTATCTCCTTCATCAGGTCATTCCAATTATCATTTATAAACCGGTTTGATTGATCACCTAAAACACAAATAATTTACCAGAATACAAATTTTATGAGTGGGTATAATTTATAGCTCAAAATTCTTACCCAATTGTTTGTTGCCATTGAACAAATTACTGAAATGTAATTTTACTGCACCTATTTCCAAACTTATTTTATTTTGTTTAATCTCAAAAAAGTTTTTGTGATTCTTTTTTTTAACAATTTTTAAATCAAATTTAATCTTTGCTTCAGCATTAGCTAAAAAAACATAAAAATAATTATACATTTAAATTAATTATGACGAGTGAATAACTTTATACTTGAACTGCAGTATAGTTTTGATTTTTAAATAAAAAACATATTATTTATTTTTAAATAGTTAGATAAGTATGGTACCTAGGTATAATACCTATAACCTATATAAGATAGATAAAGATTACTTTGTATAGAATGTAAATATTATTTATTTATCTAGTATGTACATTAAGTTTCTTTATTATTTTCCCTTAAAACTAAGTAGTATGTAGTATGTACTATGTACGAATGTACGATATTATAAATATGATGAATATATTATATTCATCCGTAAATTTTGTTACTGACACCCCATTCTGCAGATAGTATCCGTGTGTTCCTAAATTCATCAGATCAGTCAGCCGCTGGAGGGGAGGTAATCAAGCCGATTAACTTATTAGCAATCTGCTATTTTACGGATGGACTGAAATGAAACTCGATAGATTTGATAACAATATGCAAAAGTTTAGGAACACACGGTGTATCTAATATCTATAAAGATCAATTTTATTATTTTATTTGTTTTATCAATTATTAATGTGTAACGGTTTAGGTTTGGGCGACTTGATAAAAAGTGCAATGCGTTTAGTGAATGATTTTTAAATGTTTTAATGTTGGTCAATATTTTATCAATGTATTTTCCATCTTCTTTGTTAACAAACTTGGAACTGTCCGCGAATTCCTCGGACTGATGAGTTTTTAGATTATAGATACTTAGATTTGTAAGAATGTTATCAACTACAAGATTCATATTTATTACCAATCATGAGACGTATACAGTATAAGAAGTGCATAGGCGCAATTAGAGAGGAGGGCTTATCCCCCTAGTTTTATCCGTAGTTACCGGTATTTTTATCATATTTTAGCTTAAAATATAAATTATCAGGGTCTGTGCTGCTGATACAATTCTAATCCTCTCAGAAAATATAATGCTGTTGGGAATGTGAATCTATAATTAGAACTTTAGGAAGTCAAAAGTAAAAATTCCCAGTACCTACTTTTCTTGGTAATTAGGAAAATGCAAAATAAAAAATTTAAAAAAACAGAAAAATTTTTAACAAAACACCCGATTTTTGAAAAAAAATGTTCTTACTTTGTTTAATTAAAAAAGTAATAACCGTAGTTTTTCAAATATATATACCAAAAGTCTGTATTGGCATGTCATACGTAGAATAGAATACATTATTTTGACTCTTTTTGAACTATTTGTAGACATTTCAAATGTCTAATATTTTCTATGTAACATTAAAAAATATTGGACCAGTCAAAAAGATTGAAAGTTTATTATAGGGTTGCTCATAATTTATTATTATAAATATTAAAAAATATTACTAATACTGATTTTTTTAAAAGCATTTGAAGTTAAAATTTTGACGAAATTTGTCAAAATAACTATTTTGTGTAATTAGTTAAACATTTTAAAAATATTCAATTTCTATTTAATACAATATGGTTTGTTATAAGTAGTTTTTATTGAAACTAAAATATCTAAAAACAATTTTTAAAACACTTTTTTTGAAACGAAATTTGATATTTAAACGTAAACTTTTAAATATATATTTAGTAATATTTGCAGTAAATTAGTAATAGACTGACTTCGCTCAGATCAATTTTATGTATGCAATGATAAATCATTGCATTCAAATGTAACACATAGATTACAATGACGAAGTACACCCGACATCTACTGTGGTTTGATTACTTACACGGCTATACCTAATTTTCTCTTTTTTTTTAATTCACAGTTAATATGCAATAATTTGTATAGACGTAACAATTGATTAATTTATAAATGTTAGTTAATATTTTAGGTCAAGATATTAAATTGTTATTCAAATTGTATCATACTCGCTCGAATACATTATAATTTATAAGAAACTTTTATTATGTTAGTAAAAAATGTATTCACCCAAACTGCTAATTGTAATTTATATTTTTATATAATTTAAAACTAGCTATTCTTTTTAAGATAAATAAATGAAAAGAGCTGTTTGTAAGATCGTATACATGTGAACCTAATGTTAAAACGTTCAAACCAATATCGATATTCATAAAATGTTTGATTTTAATACCTAAGACTTTAAAATATAATACATGCAAGATTACTTGTAAGATGGTCTAACTCAAATTTAAATAAAAGGTTATAGATATCGTACGGCCATATGCACATCATCATCATCATAAATTATTAGTGGGAATAGTTACAGGATGTACAAGAAGAATTTTTTCTTAAAAATCGACGAAAAGAGGAAATTGACCTAGATTTCCCCACCCCTACAATGCACAACGCACGTTCGTATCATATCTATGTACTATTTGGCCATTAATTAGTTACTTACGATCATTTAAAGTGGTATAATTATTTTGTTTGTTGCAATATTGCATAACACCAAGTAATAATAATAAACTATGGTTACCATTATCGCTTTTATTAGATAGCTTTTACGCCAGTGAAATATTTTCTCTTAAGTTTTTCCTGGGGAAAGTGAATCTAGTAAGTGCATTCAGGAGATCAAGAGAAATAAGAGATTCATAAGACATTTTCTTATTACACCGAAAATTTGATGGAACGACTTTCTTCTTTTGTTATCATTCAAAAATGAATAACGTAAATACTTGAAATTTTCACCAAATGTTTATTTTATTGTTTTCTATCCTTGATAAAAGTTTCAAAATATTTTGACTCTTTTTGAGCTATTAATAGTTTTAAACCATTCAAAAGTGGGACATTAATGTGTTTTTTCTAATACTAAACCTTATTCTTGACGAGTAAGATTAATATTTAAGAGCCAAAAGAGCCAAGAAGCGTACTGAAAGAATATAATCTACAATAATTTATACTGACATATAACATATATATTTTTGTTTATGCAATGAATATATTATTATCTTTAAATTCTAATATAATTTACTTTCAATAACTTACTAAAATTTCCAACGAATTTGCCATTCCCTTTAATAGGCAGTACTAATATTTTTCCATTGACTTCGTACCTGGATTCGATTTTGAACCAAGGCAAATTTAAGTCGATCTCCAATGATTGGTTTTTGAAACCAACTCTGTAGAAAAATCATATTTTTGTAAACTAATAATAATTGTTTTATATTTAAATGAACACTATACACTTTTTATCAATTTGAGTTTGATAACGTAAGTGGCGATTAACGTGTGCAGCGAAAGTTCTTAAGGTTTGCTACTTTGTACTAAAGATGAAACCTCGAGTCACGTCACCACATGATTACACTTCAGTGCTTAATAGTCTCTTAACCTGACCTCTCTAGCTAACAGAAAGATTGAAGCTAATGTAATATTATGTCCAGTGTTGTGCTCAGATAATTTTTTTGTATCTAGATATAGATAAGATATATGAACTCAAAATATATCTAGATAGAGATAGATAATGATAAATTAAAATATATCTAGATATAGATACAGATAAAATCAATTTTATCTAGATGAAAGTGAGATGGTTTTTTATAAATGATATTCTTAAAATATGATTTTGTTAAATTTTATTTTTATATTAGGTTTGTAGAAAATATTAATACAATTATGAGTTATAAGTTTATAACTATACATAATTTTAGTTTAAATTACTATAAACTATTTAAACGAATAATTATAAAAAAAAATAAACTGAATAGACTATAGTACTATACAGCGTACGCGGACGGTTATGAATGTAGTCATTAGTCAATACTCAATAATTATGATGGTATGATACTTTTTCCATAGGCAATGAATAATAATAAATAAAATATTTATAACTTGCAGTGGTTGATTAATAAAGGCTGTTGGCCATAGGCGCAAATCGCAGGGGTGCTAAGGGTGCTTAGCACCCTGAATTTTAATGCTAGCACCCCGAATCCCGTGATTATAACTTATAGTACTTACCATCACATTTTCAAATTAATTACATTTATTAAAAATTCAAAAACAGTTTTATATTTATTTAATTATTTATAATATAATAATATGTATATGTCGAGTTTACGTCTGGATATATTTAACTGCAATGACGTATAAAACATATTATATAATATCATAATAATTGTGAAATTATGATATTAAAGGGAAATAATAAATTGTTAAACATATAGGTATGTAAATAATAAAATTCGGAGTATCTATAATCTACGCAGACCGACCGCAACGACACTACAGGTATATAGTTTTATTTAATTAGACCCGCAGTGAGGAATTCCATAAAATAGGATTAAAATAATTTTGTGCAATTCAACTTAGTAACAAATTTGGCTTAAAAGAGCTAAAACAGGTAATCAGTAAGACTGTTTATCCAAATCTGTTCAAGCTACTTCAAGTTGCCTTAGTTTTGCCGATATCATCTGCTTCTTGTGAAAGAAGCTTTTCTGCAATGAGAAGAATAAAATCTTGGACACGTACCACGATGGGTCAGGAAAGACTATCTGACTTATCGATAATTCATATTGAGAGCGATCTAGTCATTGATAAAGACATCATTTTAAATAAGTTTGCTGAAAATAAGCGCACGTTGCCTTTACATTTTTAATAAATAAATAATAATAATAAAATGTTTAGTTTGTTTGATTTTTATTTTATATTTTTATTTATATAATAATATATGGTATAGTACTATTGGGGTGTGTGAGGGGCGAAGCCCCTCACGAGTTTGGTCTGTTTCCTCAAAAATGTTTGGTGCTTAAGCCCCCCTAATGTTTTTGGGTGATTTGCGCCTATGCTGTTGGCGAATGGTGAGTGGACTGAGTGGAGCTGGTGGTTTATTCTTATTAGTTATTGGTATTTTTAAACTATTATAATACCAATATTCCCACTTCCCAGTACTATCGTCTATCAGGTTATTCTTAGACCTTCGACTTGAATTATTTAATATTATTATATAATAAGCTTAGCTTATCTATAGTCGTCTGTCGACGACCAACGATACAATATTATTATTAATTAATTTCTTAAAAGTGGTGCACATTAGCGACAAATGACAATAATAATACTAGGTAACTAAATATATGCGTATAATTAATTAATTATATAATATATTATACAATTTTAAAAATAATATCAGAAAACATAATGTTCGTATATTTTTCAGATTACGTCTCGTGAACAATCTAGATAAATTAATTTAGATGACGAAGTTTTCTATCTTAGATGACAGGTAGATACCAATTGTGTAATTTATCTAGATAAGATAAAAGATACAATTGTTTTATCTAGATAAGGTATCTAGATAAATTTATCTAACTAAATTTAGCTATTACACAACACTGAATTTATGTCTTCGTAAAAAAATAATAATTTTTAAATTCTTACCATCAACTACAAAACAAAATGAAAAAAGCTGATAAGTGGATGCCGCTCTGCTGTACAGTATATTACAAGTGGGAAACGGTAATGGATGGTGTTAAATTTGAATTCAATGATATCAAATCACTGAATACGAAAAACGATTCTTTGAAAAAGACGGTCTATAATATTAATCAGTAATTTAGTATATTTGATGATATAATTGTGATTAAAATAATTTATTTTAATATTAAACACGAGTATATAAATTCATTTTTGCAAAAAGTACTCGGAAAGCATCATATATACCCACGAATAATATTTTTAAATTACATCAAAATAACCTAAATCATTATTATTATTGGTTATTTAATATGTAATTTTGCCCAAATTTGAACATAAAATAACTATAAAAAAAAACTGTGTTAATATATTTTTAGATTTTTTGGTTACAGAATTAACTATTTATGAACAACTTTGTTTTGAATTTTTAATCCTTAGGCCTTAGCTATAAAAGTTGAACATTTTATAAATATTTAAATACAAAATAATTTGTTAATTTTCAATTTGATACATTTTGTTAAAATTTGAACTTAAAATGCTATAAAAAAAAATTGTGCCAACGTATTTTTAAAAAAATTCAACTGCTGTTGTAAGAACATATCGGATATCTTGTATTTAACTGTCACGCTTTTTGACCCTACAAATAACATTTTATTGAAATTTATAAAAGAAAAAAAACTAAAAAATTGAAAATGTCCGAAAACATCTTAAAATGAGTCGAAATATTTTGAAGATTTTATCATGTATGGAAACTGACAAAATATAAATATTTTATGAAAAATTGAAGTAACCGTGGATAGTAGTTTTTGAAAAATAAGAAAATCATTAAAAAGAATTGGTTAGTTTAAGGGTAATACATTTGAAGTCTACCTTAAAAAATTAATTTGACTTTCCAGTAAACTTTTTTCATTTGCTTTATGTAGGAAACCTTAAAGTAAATATTGTTTTACATTTTCAGAGCTTAGAATCGAAGGTTTAGATCAAGTATTCTGCAATATTTATAAATAAAAAATAATTTTTTATAAATTTTTAACTCAAAATGATTTACAAATTTTCTTAATTTTTACGGATTTTATCAGAATTCGAACTTCAGACGCCCATGAAAAAATATTATTAATCTACTCTCGACTTTTTTTTTAAATTAACAACAATTTATGAGGAACCTATTATTATATTTTCAATTTTTTTGACCTAGCTGAAATTTTTTTATCGATTTTAATTTTAATAAAAACTAATAAAAATCGAAAAAATATATGTATGTTATTAACGTATTTTCATTGAAACACTTACTTGATTTTCTGCATTTGAAAATTTTTTGCTCCATAACCCTTCAAATCTGTAAACAATGCAACGAAATTAACTGAACCGGCTGAATCTTGTTTCAAAGTCACTGATGGTATCATCATTGGATCTAAAGGTAATATGTGCATTTCTGGCATTCCTTTACTGATATAAGGCCTAATGTTTTCCATCAACTTAATTAAACAGTCATTAATATTAGGGTCATCTCGCTTGCATGGTTTGATGTATGAAGCTGAAAATGAAGTTTGATCTTGATTTTTTATTTTCAAAATCAATAGGTACCAATAAATTTTAAATTTTAAATATACATACGCAATGATCGGCCACGTATTTCACTAATCACGGTTATGTACAATACAAATCCTATTAATTTAACTGCCATATTGAACTTAAATAAAAGAGCTAGATAAAATCCAATCACTTTCTACCAATGACTTATTAATTTGTGGGGTGTTCGTCAAACCGTGGCCGGGTTTATATATAATCAGGTACTGGAAATAGCCTTGTGTCAGGTCATCAATTTGGTATATTCCTCTTGAGTATTGTCAGGTAAATGAGCGAACCCAATATAGAACTCACGGTGTGACTAGAATTTACAAGATGAAGGTATCAATCATAATTCATATAATGCATAATATACCTTTCAGCCATCGTCAAGGTTAAGTCAAAATCATAAGTGAATAAACACATTATGAGTGACTAAATGGTACTATTATCTATTAAGGTCATTATCTATTTAACGCCTTAGGAGTTATTATAAAAATACAGTAACTAAAACCATACGTCTGAAAAAATTTACCAAAACAAATATTTTTGACAATATTAAACTATGTTATAGTAAGAAAAAAATAGAAATACATAATATATATTGGCGCACTCAGTAAACGGAAAAGTCAATCTCGGTGGGAACAAGGAACACCCCCAATAATGACAATTTGTTGAAGAATTTTCAGTGCAATTTTAAAAACTGAGACAGGTACTTAATTGCATTATTTGCGATAAATTTTTCTTTAGTAACCAAAATTGTTTATTTATATATTTATATTTGTAGACAGATGTCAGATACTTAGTGTTGTATTGTTCATTTAGAAATTATCAAATTAAAAATAGGAAGTTGATTAAGAAAATTATACATCATTTATACCTACTGTTAAAATTAATCTATTGTCTGATTACAGTGATTAATATTGAATAATAATAATTGTTTAGCGATAGATAATATAAAATTAGGGCATGAATACTTTAGGCCAGAGGTCTTCAATCTTTTTATGCAGCGGGGCCGCGTATTATTTTTTAATAATCTTGCTGGCCGCATTCGTAGTAAAAATATGTATTTTATAGAAAAATTCAGTTTTATTTCTACAATTTTTATGATTACATTTTAAATTACAAATTATTATTATTATTAAAACATACATAGATAGCATATTTTCGATAGTAATGGCTTAGCCGTTATAATTTTATCGAAGTAGAAAATATACATGCTAAATTTCAAATGTGATCGTGGACCGCATATTATGACAGGATGGGCCGCGGCTTGAAGACCTCTGCTTTAGGCCCTATACTGCAGAAGCAATAATAAAACTTAAGCACTTCTATTAAAATCATACTTGTATACCTCTCATGTGTAATGTGGAATACCTATAACAATCAACATATTAACTAAAACGACTTAACGATATTATAATGTCTCATGAAAATTTGCAACACATAGCACATGTAAATGTATGATAAATAGTTATTTGAAACATTAATTATTAGAAATCATATCATTACGTTTGGATAGCCCGAAGGGAAACTTGTAGGTATTAGGTAGTTAGTAGGTATATGGTTTATGGTTTATGCTCGGTACCTACTGTATTTTCTTAATAATTTAAGAATTTTCTTAGTAATTTCCCAATTTTTTTTAGACGTTTATCATTTACCATCGTGTTATATAATCTGTTTTAAGAATATAATAATTTAAATAAATATAATACTATAATAGTGTTGTGCGATAGGAAGACATGATTATTGAATTGCTGAAGAGTACATCATCATTGATGAAACTTCCGTCAGTGGAAAGTTAAGTATTATTTCGATACCTAGTATTTAACAATAATCATAATATATTATTATTATTTATTGCACATATATAATATTTCATTACATTCACTTAGATTTTGAACGAAGACAAATATAAAACATTGGTACAACGTTTTAATGACCTTCAATTTAACAAATTTAACATAAATATTACGTTTTTAAATTATTGTCATCTATTATTTATCATACCTATAGGTAAATTGTACATTGATTTTTCTATATAAAAATCCTACTTAAAAACTCTCAAAATATTTTTCAATGCTTTATAATAATGCTGACAAAAAATAAAAATAAAAATCTATAAAAATAAGAATAATTTTTTAAAAAACCTGACAGTTATGCCTTCAAGAGAATTCAAATATAAAAAGCATTTAAACAAACGTCAGGGGGATTGCAAAGCCAAGTGCATATTCAATAACTAATAAATGGTAGCGTATAGGTAATAATTACAATTGTTTAGAAATAATATATAATATATTATTAGTCAAAAGCATATTATATACGATTTAAATTTTAAGTAGGTATAGCTAGTTTATTGTACATCTTAAGTAACTTACAAAAATACGAATGACTGGAACATTTAAAAAGTAAACAATCAATAAAGTTTCTATTTCTTTACACTCTTACACACTATAACCTTGAATGTATTTTAGGTGATTAAAATATAAGCATTCCTCATACATATTGTTTGAATGATTAAATGTAAATTGTCAGACTTATATAAGCAACGTTTATGGTAGTTGTGGAAAAACAATAATTTTATCATTTAGAACCTGAACCTCAGGAATAAAAAAAAACATACAGTTTTACGTTTCTACTTTCTATAACTACAAGAATATGAAATAGTGCAGCTGCATACCTTCATCAGACTTCTATTATGGTGTACATGTGAATATAATACACTTTCATTTTTACAATGACATTTTCGTTAATATTGTACACTTTTAGTGCAATGAAAGTTCTCAAAATGTGGTAGGTACAATGTACACAGATCAAATTACATGATACAATTTTTTATTGACAATACATTTTAAAAACTAATACAAATCTAAATTATCTTATCATAATAAATAGCTCAAAAATAATCAAAATATTTTTAAAATGTTATGATGTGTATAGAAAATGGTGATATTAAAATTCAGTGAAAATTTTGAGTATCTAAGTTTATTTTTATTCGAGTTAGACTAAAATATCAAATCGTTTTTTTCAAAAACTGGTTTTGTGTAAAAATTTCAGTTATTTGATTGTTTTTCCAGGTGCTTTTGAAAATTACTAGGGATTTTTTTCTTTTGACCCCCCCCCCCACATATTTACTAGATTTACATACCTACCAGAAAAGATGCATGCTTAGGTAGAAAATCGAAAAATTTTTAATGCCACAAAAGGTGATGATTGACACAATAATAATAATAAACACGCATCATTGTAAAATCAATACATTCATCACTCCGCTCAGAATCTAAAATTGTGTAGGCACTATTGTTTTGATATTGAAAATAAACTCATATTTTATAACAATTAAAATAACTATATTATAGGCAGTTTAAAATATCAAGAAATTATAAAATACTGCTTATCTTCATTTGAATATATATATAAATTATTGTGGAAACGAATTTAAAAAGTAATAACGATTTAAATTATGCTTCCAATCATTTCTATAGAAGTAAATTATTTTTATAACTAAAATTAAGTTTAATGATATTATAAAAATCTAGTTTATAATCTTGCTTGACTAACAAATATTTTGCTCAATGTCAATATATTTATTGATATTTAAATATTGGACGGTAAATGGTAATTACAATGCAACATCCAAACATCTTTTAATGGAATGATAAGGAAAAACTTTCTTTTTATGCTTAAATAGTTAAATAATACCTACTTAGTATTTATAGGGAAAAGAAACTTATAAGTTACACTAATTATATTTTTTGAATGTACAATCTATGTGTATATATAATGCCATTTCCATATTCTAACCTACCAATACTTTGTCCAAATTAAAACATCTGATTATGAAAAACTGTTTTTATAAATATACATTGCCACATTGGCATGTTATTATTTATAAGCAATTATGATATATAAGTTCCAACACTAAAACTTAAATACCAACTACCAATAAAATGTAACAAAAAATAAATAAATAAATAATTCTAAGTAATATAATAATAATGTAATATGTATAATATTAATATTTTGTATTATTATATATTATGCACAATATTATAATGATTTAACGTTAAACATATAAATATAGTTATGGTTAGACTGATAAGAAAAAAAATTGAAAGCGAAACTATGTTTCTATAGAACTTTTTATATTAAAAACATTTTAATGGAATATAATCAGGTGATTTATAATCGTTATTATATTGAAATAATAATACATTACATGCGTTTGAAATTGCATAGCAATATGTAAAAAAACATAATTTAATTATAAAAATATACAATATAATAATTGATTTTTATCTAGACAACTAAATTTGTTTTTTTTTTAAATTTGTTTAATTCTTTATATTGGATAAAATGACACGTCTGTCGCTTGAACAACGCGGAACTTAACTAAACCAAAACCTTTAATAAAAGTAAACAAAAATTAAAAATCATACACATCATCTGCAATTATATATACCTTTGTAAACGCGGAAAACTTGAATTGTTTTGTATACAATAGTTTTTTGCATACAAAACAATTTAACCACACGTTTAGGTATAGTATATACCTAGATACGGGTTCGCAGATTATTATTTTAGTGTCTACACTCTTACTAAATGTTTGAAGAGTAAAGACTACATTTTTAATTTCAAGAAAATGGCTAGTAGTAATTATAATTTGTGTTTCTTGGCACTTGTACTTTGTATGACTAACATACATTCTGAAAATGATTTTTACGATCATACACGGTCAACAAAACTATGTAAGACTAATCCAAATAATGTAATAAAAATAATTAAGTTTAACAATATTTTTTTACAGCTAAAATAATACGACCATGTCATCGGAGTGATCCAAATTTAAACGACTGTATAAAATGCGCCATCGAAGACCTAAGGCCATACTTGGCAAGAGGTAAACTATTAATTTATTTGTATTTGTCACATATCAATAATGATATTAAAAACGTATTATTAGTTCACTTCAAATAATTCATAGCCACGAGCTGAAAATTAAAAACGTATTCAAATTTATTTTAATTTTGGTGATTTAAAATTTGAATAGGGCCATAATCCATGAATATATAATATTTATGTATTATATTATACCGATTAAATTATAATCGCATGAGTCTATTTATTACTTCAATGTTTTCATCATTTAAATTTCTCACGCCAATTTCACCGTCTTCATATTTTACATAATTTGAAATACTCGTTTCAAATTAGCCACATTACATTTTTAATCTGATAACAATAATTAATAACCAGTATTAATTTTAAATTTTAATACTTCGTAATAAAAAAATTAGAGAACAAAACGTATGGCTCATCGGTCGTCTAACTTCAATCATATTATCACAGAAAAAAGATAAAACAGATAACATTGATGTTTTAATACTTACTAAAAAAAAATATGGATTAAAGTGTAAATTAATATTTGGAAAATTCTAATTTATGTATTACCGATCAAATTAATAACACAATAAGACGATTTATTTCTTTGAAGACCTAAAGAATCTCAGATCAAAGGTCTTCTTTGAATCAACGAAATGTACAAATAATTAATATATTGAGGACTAAAATATGATTTTAATGAAACAATAATAAACCTTTTTCGATCAACATCTTGTTGTAAATAATAAATATTATATACTTTTCTTTCAATATAATTGCATTAATATTTTTATTCTACTTAATGTGTTTATCAGGGATCCCGGAATTATTTATACCCTCATGTGAACCACTTTACATACCTGAAATTGTGATGAACCAAGGCAACAAAGGAAGTGTCAGTGTACAGTCAATATATCGAAACATCAGTGTGTATGGACCGAGTCAATTTATTTTAAAAAGTGTCAAGTAAGTTATAAAGTTAATATAAAGTATTTTAGAATATTTTTTATGGTTTCTGTTAACTTTTATTTTTTTTGTACATTGTATTTTTTATAATAATTATAATAATTTTTTTAGTTACTAATAATAGTCATTATACTTACTTCATATAAGTACACAAATGATTCTTTCTATTTAAAGATACATAATTCAATACTGTGTAAATCATTTATTTATTATTATGATTATTCAGAGTGGATATGGAAAAAGAAAGGATTCGAATTAAAGTATGGTTGCCTCATCTGTATATGACAGCCAATTATTCGATCGAAGGCAGAATTCTAATGTTACCTATTTCTGGGCATGGCCTAAGCGAGGGAAATTATAGTAAGTCATTTCAACCCTGGTTTTTTTTTATTAAATTAAATTTTGATTTCCTCGTGTTTTAGCAAATATTGAGGCTAATGTTCTCATCCAAGGTAACACTATTCAAATTGAAGGTAGAAATCATTTCAATGTCCAAGATGTAGCCATTGATTTTCAAATCGGTCATGCAAGTATTTACCTCAGTGACTTGTTTGAAGGCGACTTGGAACTTGGTAATATATACTTACTCATAAGTCATAACTGTAATTTACTTAAGTTTTCTACCTACGTCAATAAATTTAAGTATATAAAATAAAAATTAATTTTGTTTTATCGAGTATTGATACACATTTATAAAATCTTTATTGAAAAACGTTAAATATTTATGCCTATTCATTTGTATATGATTTACATATGAATACTGAAGTTGGTATAACTTTAATCCAAGTGTTGTATATTAGTTTTCATATTTGACATGAAATATATTATAATCTGAAAACTTCGTTAATAAGAAAAGTGTTATTATTATGTTTGTGCAGTGTCATATGCGTCACGGATGCATAATAATAAGACTTGGCAATAACAACCCAGTGCCTCACATTGAAACATCAAAATAAATACATTAATTTAAAATAAAATGTTTTTAAAACGCATAATATTATTTGAAACAAATTAAAAGAATTTTAAATAATTTTGTTTACAGGTATATAAGTATAAGTATCCACATTATGATAAACGGAATAATATGCAGTGTAGACAGTGTAGTTATACTCAAATAAATTTTATTTTATATTAACAACAATAATAATGTATATATTAATAGTATATTTATATTATTTATCCTTATATTTAATTTTTTCGTTAATGCTATTGAAAATCTATACGGAACACGGATAGATATATAATTATATAAGAATATTATCAATGAGAAAATGTATTGAAAGACAAATATAAACGACTCTTTTGTTGGCTATTTACAACTTATATACTTTTATTAATAATATTTATTTAATATCATCATTTTATTTGCCCAGGTGAAGCGATGAATACATTTTTAAATGATAATTGGAGACATGTTGCTCAAGAATTCAAACCTATTCTCGAAGAAACGATTGGTGATTTATTCAAAAAATTCGCCAACAAATTGTATCACAAATACCCAATGGAAGATTTTCTACTAATTTAAGTATATTATTATTGTGTAGGTATTAAAAATAATCCATAAATTATGTGTAAATATTTGGTGTTCTTTTTTAAAGTATTTTTATACATATTTATATTTTTATTATTATTATTATTATTTATTTATTTTTAACGTCATACCTATATAAGGTTTTTCAATTACAACGAATAATATGTTTAACTACATCAAATACCTACTTGTCGTGTTATTTTTTTTAAATTGTATCTTTCGTTACACTATAGTATGTTACATAGTAGGTACTTATACACTCGATAATTCGGTATTAAAAAAAAATAATAAACATATATATATATACATATATATACATTTACCGTAGACCAATCAAACGTACTGGACGTACGGACAGCCGACGGATAAAAACTTTCTCTGTCGACCACGTTCAAACTAGTCTTCTTCGGCGCTTGTAATATTACGCCGGTCGCAAGTATTACGCCAACATTCTGTGTGTCCGCTGTCTAGCACAGATTTGGTCTGTTTTTATTTCCTTCTCTCGCGGACGATTTCTGGAGGATATTTTGTACCGTTTTTTTTTTTGTGTTTCGTTTGCCATAATAACAAAACACCGCACATCCCCGTTTAGCCGAGATCACCAACCACTTGTGTGTGTACGACATATACTTACGACTGCAGTGTGAACGACCGACCAAAACAGGATGCTGCTTCTTACGGCTATAGTCGTGTGCGCTACAACCCTTGGTTGTATAGTGATGGTCCAAGCCAGTGGAAACCAAAAGCCAATTCAACAAGACCAGATACCGCCACTTCAAACTGCTCGTAAGGATTCATAGTACCTAATTAATAATTATAGTAAATAATATACCATAATATGGTAATGTTATGTATCCGTGAAAACGTAGAGTACACCTAATAATTAAATTACCAGTATTACTCAGTACAAGTACAACCCAAACATATTTTTGAATTCAGTATGTGGGACCTAAAACACTAGGCTCCAATGATCATCAATCTCCCGCAAACAGAGTTCTAAAATACGTATAGGGTACTGCAAGGGTATAATATAAGTGATAAGTATATGAGTATAACTGAGTTACCTATATAGTGTACCCAGTGGCATGTAATTAGGGTCCAAGTGTTGCTCAGGCAACACCTTAAATATGTAGGTGGGTGGGTATTTACAGAAGAAAAATAGGACATTTTATGGGCCGGTTTAACAGTATTATGAGGGGTAGGTCACCTACAATTATTTGAGCAACACCTATTTTTTTTTATGATACACGCCACTGAGAGTACCCAATTTTCGAGGAATACACCCGTTAAGTTGCTGTACGGTTATTTTTATATTTTTTGTATAGATTTCCAGTCACGAATATTTTACAATTTTGTTTCGACTTCGTTGGACGATGCTTTTTTAATCGGGCGTTGATACAATTTAATTGTCAGACTTTAATTGAAACATTTAACCTGACTGATCTACTAGTATTTGTTCTGTATATTATTATTTTTGATTGAAAAATGTATCACATATTGAATGCGCGTTGCAGGTTATGATCGAAATTGTTTTGCGTTACACGACGGACCATATTACGATCTTCCCTTAGAAATGCATTTATTTTTTAAATCTCAGGTGTAACCCTCACAAACTCCGTAATTTAAACATACCTATACATTATACTTTTAAGTCGGATTTGCATATCCTCGGAGCTGCTGTGTATAATATGACTTATATCACGTCAACCGTCTATATATAGACTTTAACGCGAAGTCAAATTCGTGTCATTAACGTACATCATAATTGTACGTAAAACGACTTTAAAAAAGCGATCGACGATACAGCACAATTTGACAGGGTGTTTACCGAGAGCAATTATATTATATTGTTGCCGCTGCCGCCGACCCCGAGTGGCGTTTCGCAACAACCCCGCTCGTCCACGTTTTCTTTAAGCATTCCGCGCACGAATTTACTTCCTAAACAGGTCAAAAACGATCGGTTTACACATAACGCACAAGGCGACAACGAATGAACCGGTGCACGACTAGGTCGTGTGCATCATAATAATATGATCGTCAGATGTTTTTCACCCAGATCTGGCTCCTGTTGGAATTATTCTATCCAATAAAACAATACGCCTGTGATATTTCATTATAACAATAATTGAATTATGGTCAATATAGGTATCGTTTTATGAGAAAACTCAAAAATAGTTGTTGTTTAATGTTTCGTTTTTTCGACCGTCTAAATCATAATAATAACGTACAGCGATTACGTAACACTGCAAACCATTGGCAGCACACACGTTCCATAATATATAATATGTTATATACATAAACTTAGGTATTGTATTTATATATATATGGACACTGCAGAATGTACATTGTACACAGTAGGTACATAGATATAATTATATACAAGTAGTAGGTACGTATATAGGTGCCACTACAATATAATAATATATATGTGTATAAGTAATAACCATAATATGTAATAACCAATAAGTAATAAACCAATATTAACCTATACCTATATGGCGAGTATTATAATATATATTATGTACATCTATATAATATATAATAATACCTGGTAGTTGTACTATACAGTCGACGCCACCGCACAAGATCGCGACCCGATCGAATTATGTAAGAACGAATGTTTTTTTGCGCGCACAAGCGGCGGCCATGTGTGTGTATAGGTAATAATAATAATAATAATAATATAAATATAATATGTGTACGTCGTCGTTGTCGTGAGCGCGTATAATATTGTAGTTGTTACTTGTTTGTTTATTATTATAAAATATCGCCTTGGAGCGACGGACACATTACTATTATATTATTATTATTATTATAACCTGCTGCTGGTCCGGCGACCGACCCATTAAGTAAGCGCCCTCATTAATGAAAGTGCGTTCGAAACGTCTGTAATAATAATAAAAAAAAATTTCCTATTTCTCTCTCACTCGTTTTTCTCGGTATTTTTATGTGGTCCTGCTCAGTCCCAGTGAAAGCAAACCACACGTGTCCGGCGACGCGCGAGTTTGTAGCGATAATAATTTAAAGATTATTACCTATACCCATTACAACCGTACATATATTATTACATACGTAATTATACATTTATAATATTATACATGTATGTACGGTCGATTATGCGGATGAAAACGATTTCGGAAGACATAATAATAATATTATATTATAATATACCGAAGGGGATTAAAAGTATATTGTAGTTTATAATAATATTAATAACATAACGAGGATTAGATATTAGGAGGTAACTGGGGCTAGGTACGTAGGCACCTACGCAGAACAAACGCAAACACTTATCGATGTTTTTATAGGTATATAAGGTATATTATTATTTTTATGTAATGCCTAAACTCGACGCAGAGCATCTCGTAATCCGTGAAAAAGATATGTACTTACAAAAATAGGTAGGTACTTACAATCATAGAGACAGTATACGGATTCCGTACTGGAAGGTATACCTAAATACCTAATTATGTTATATAAAGCATACATGTATAATAATAATATAATATTATTACATGGGTACCTACTATACCTACATAACAAATCATTTGTGATGTACTTACCTATACAGTTTGAATTTATATAAAATTACTCGTTGGACACATACCTCTGTAGCTATAAACTATATAATGTACCTATTACTTATTAGACATTTTCACTCCTTAAATAATATTATCAAAATCATTATAAAATAAATACAGTTTAGTCAAATCATAAACAATAGCGTCATTATGTCAATACAACTTCTTACATGATGAAAGTATACGGTTACATAATAATGTATTTACTTAAAACCGTATACCAAAGGTATCACAAATTAATAAATAAATTGAGTTTAATTTTAAATTACGCACCGTTAAAATTTGAAGAACCCCAGGAAACATACTATTAAGGATCCATATCTCGTGTAATTTTCCTGCATATTTTTAAAAAAAAAAAATTATATTTTATACATAGTTGGGTATATCTTGACCGTTTAAAGAATCAATAATTTGATACTTGTTGTATAGAAATTCAAGTGCTTGAAGATTGTAGGTATCCTGCACAACCTACTCCACTCTTTTAATTATTTAAATAAGCAACGAAAAACCAAAATACACCTTCACAAAATAATCATCTCTTATATCACAATCAATTTCAAGTTGAAATTCACTTATCTTCTTTCTTCTTGCGTACTTAATACATTTATCGCAAAAGGTATTATTTCTCCGTAGACTATTCATGTTTAATATTTTCACACTCACAAATATTAATTATCTTCGTTAGCAAATATCAACTCTAATATAATTACTTCATTAGTTTAAATTTAATTTATAACCTTTGGTATTATTAGCTACGACTGTATCGTTCATAAATCGTAATAATATATTGTTATGTAATATGTATTTATATTTATTGTCAAGCTATATTAAGTTATAAGTAGGTAATATCAATAAAATAAAAAACTTAAATCGTTTGATGAGAAATCGTTATTTTAAGAGAGAATATCTCGTAGAATTTTCACTACAGACACTCACAAAACAATATTTTGAATTATAATCAAATTTTATTTTTGGTTTTTGCAAGAAAAACTTACTTAGAACCTTAAAATAGCTTGTGTAGAATTTTCAAACCTCGGGAATAAAAAATAATAAATGTTTCCCATATAAACTTTTAATTAAAAATAATATACAAATGTTCACGAATCTGATGTCAAAATTCTAATTTCAAACGTTCATAAAAAAATTCCAGTATTTACAGCTTATAAGGAACCTTATATAATTCATTTTCAAGCATTTTGACCGAGCGAACATTTATTATCAACATTTATATAAAATAAACTACAAAAATCAAATAAGGGTCTATTTTGGTTACCTTGATGGTTGCCAAATAATTATTTTAATGAATGTTTGTGTTAGATTGAACGGAGAGAAGAATGTATATTTATTTTCCAATGATGTGTGTTTTTTTGCCTTAAGTGACTCTTTCTAGTAAAATAAATGTTCTGATGGTCAACTTTGATGGAGATTTCTTGTAGAAAATTGGATCTATAGTCGGTACTTTTAGAAGGTCAATTGAAAATTCTCAGCACTTTTTAAAGTATTCGAGAAAAACTAAAAAAAAATACAAACATTTGTTAAAATGTTGATATTATTATTAGAACAACTGTTTAGTAACCTTGGTAGACAAGAAGTTATCTTCGCTCAGAATCATCGTAAACTATGATTTTATCATTGAATTCAAATTTAAAATGTTCATTAAACTGCCTATACTCAATGACGAGGTACACTATATAGTACACACCAGAGTTGTTATCTACTTTTGTTTTCCTGATTATTTTAAAAAGTAATTAGAATTTTAAGTATTCAATTTTATATTAAAATAAGTTTAGAAACAGACAACTTAGCAAGCTTGCAGCAGAGTGAGTTTTCTTAACTCGTTGTTTAAAAATATCATGAATATATATATATTATATAATTTATATAAAGATCTTCTGACATCTTGCCATAACGATAACAATTAAGAATTAAAATATTTATTATTTTATCAATGAGTATGTTAAATTGTTTTAGCTGTTTGGTTAAATGCTTGCAAAAAGAAAGATCCAAATTTGGATGAATGTATCCGTATGACTTTTCAGAACATGTTTCCTTACTTGGCAAAAGGTAATATACTTGTGTACAAATAAATATAATGTAATACGAAAAACAATTATTAAACTTTAGTTTAAAATATTACTCTGGATTAGGAATACCGGAGATTGGAACCAGGCCGTTCGAACCAATGGATATTGACAAAGTGTCTTTAACTAAAGGCCAAGGGGCAATAACATTATCCGGAGCATTCACAAATCTTATTGTACATGGACCAAGTAATACGACCGCTTTGTATACCAAGTATGTCAATTTAAATAATTTAAAAACTAAATTACAAATTATAAAAATAGGTAATAACTAATAATTACCTACTATAATATTGGTTGTACCATTTATACCTACGCATAATAATACAAGTATAAAGTAAAAAAAATCAAAAAATATATATACACGTATAATGTATATTGCATAAGTGTACTAATAAAATTATGTTGTACAAAACATCTAAAAAAACTATAAAAAAATGTAATTACCTACCCAACTAATTTTCATTAGATATATTAGGTAGATGTGTTATATATATAAATATATTATAGGTATATGTAGTAAAATTATTACTGTTATATTAATTTTTTGAAAAAAATAACAACAAAAGCCTCTGTATACTAATACGTACTTTTTAGTTTTACAATTTTTAAAGGTAAGTAGGTATTCAAAATGTTTCGTCCCCCGACTTGCTTGTCTCTTCACTACATTTTAGTTGTCCCTATCTATTAATGATAAAGCAAGTTAAGGTTTAAATGGGTTTATTTATAACCAACTTAATACAGTGAAAAACTAATGATAGCGACAGCACTATGTTACAAAGCATTCATATATGATTAGTTAACATATTACAAAGCATGTAGGTACCTAAGAAATCAGTAAAAATATTATTTCTATAAAATGTGTGCTTCGTCACCTGTTGTATGTAGATATTCTTGAAATTTCTTCTGGTATCTCTAAGAATAATCTATGAAATGTTCGATTATGTTGTTTTAGAGTGTATAAAACACAACCATTATACACACATTTCCATTTATCTATACAAATGAATATATTAAAAAGTATAAAATATACATAAATTATTACCAAACAACAAATGTAATTAAATATGAATAAAAAGCCAAAATTAAAAGTTTTACTTTTAGAACAAAATAAGATAATAATCGGCATCATCATCATTATTGTTTATATTATTTTTCCTTTTTCATGCCAGGGCTCTCCAACAATCACAGCTCTAAGGGGCATCACGATTATTGGTCAAGGGAGCAGTTTCACAGAAGGAAAAAATAATATTTTAATAATTCCATGATGGTGATGTTTATTATGACAGTATGTTAATGAAAACGATGATAAAATAAACTTCCATAAATACAAACATTATATAATACATCTTTATTATCCCAATAATTGAGAATCCATTAAATTGTGTTGTAAAAAGACAATGGAGCCATGAGATGAAAAAGTTTAAAAATCTACTTTTAATCTATAACAAAGGTTTATATAGATACTGTTTAATATATTGTATACTTTACACATAATCATCTAATTAATACTCAGTGGTTGAGGATAAAATTAACGAATGTGACGAATGTGTAATGCGTTTAATGATATTTCAAATATTTCCCGAACAATTTTTTGCACAAATTTGATTTTAAACGATTTGTAATGACTGTACATACTTTTAGGATGGACTTGGTGAAAAATCGTCTAGACATTGGTCTATTCATACCAACAATCAAAGTAGAATCGAAATACGATCTGAAAGGAAATTTATTATTGTTACCACTGGTTGGTGTAGGCGATGCTAAACTATATTTAAGTGAGTATGAAACAAAACTTAAATCATAACATGTAGAAAATATTAAACTTGTTTAATTTTCAGAGAATGTGACTACACACGTACAGACAAATATCTACTTCCCCCAATATATGAACGAAACTGTAATGGTGGCTAGCAGTATGAAAGTTGACTTTAACTTGGCTGCAATGCGTGCCAACTTTGACAATTTGTTCAATGGCAACAAAGTATTGGGTAAGTAAATATTCGTACAAAATTACTTGGCTTGAGTAAAAACACAATATAATATGAATCATAATCAGTATAAAAAAAGAAATGACGTTCGTATTTTATAGTATTATAAAACTGTAAAAATGTCTTGTATTTTCGATCATGTTTTCTACTGTTTCACAGGGCGAACTGTCAACACGTTTTTGAACCAAAACGCATTGGAAGTGGTAAATGGTCTGAAAGAAAATATTGGTGAAAACCTTTCGACCATATTTAAACAGATTATGAACGATGCATTTAGTCACATGCCAACGAAACTGTGGCTACAAGACGATTAGTTGACTTATGTAACTTTATTATTATGTGAGCATTGTTGTACATATAGCCTATTTCGAATTATTTTAACGTATACCTATAATTATATTATTATTATATTCGTGATTCATGATTATAATTTTTAATCATTGTATTTTGTACTTTTTATTTTCACAACTATGTTACTATTGTATATGTATTACTATTATTAAAAATGTATGAAGAGGAATAAAAATCAATGATACACTTCCTAAGTATTGCAAGACGAACAAACTAAAATTCAACTAAAACAAATTAAGTCCTTTCACTTTTCTATCAAGCGAATTTATATTATGAATTACTACCTAAATATTATATAGAGTTCTAAAAATTGACCTTCAGTCACAATACAAATTATATCTGACATGACGTATGCGACCATATGTACAAGTATAAAATACTAATAAATAACCTAACTTCATATTTATTGTTATAACTATATAGGTATTAAGCAGGTCTCTGCTCACACAACTCGTGTACTCGGCGAACATCATTATATTCGCCGATGCTTGCGTGTATTTTGACTTGACGGTTGTTATTATAATATGTCGCTCCTACAAGACTCGTATATTCATTGATTATTCGGCAATCGTATACTGTATACTCTCCAAGCCATCGCTAATATTCTTAAACGACTACCTATAATAGTATTCACCGATTAATTCGACCAAAAATTAAAACAAATTATAATTGTGAAATTCATATCAGTCATCAGTATGGGAGATCCAGGGGTTCTGGACTCGACCCCCCCCCCCCCGAACTCCAAAAAAAGGATAACTAAATTAATATTTTAATTTTAATTTGATATTGTATTATAATAGATACAATGTAGATGATATTTATACAAAGACGTTAAGTATAACAATAAATAAATAACAATTTTCTGATATCAATACCTAAAAAATGTCAGAATTAAAAACATTGTTGGACCCCCCCCCCCACACAAAAAAGTTAAAAATACGCCATTGCAGGTCATCAGTGTCAGTCCAAAATGGATGTATATAATATAATATAGTATAGTGACGATGACGAGCAGATCGTAGTTAGTGCCGCATTTACGGTGATGTGTGCTAATTAAAAAACTAAAGCCAAAAGAAGATGGAGAAGTTTGTCTTTGAATAATAATATAATTTATTTGCACATATAAAAATTAAAATCAAAATATCACTCACTTTCTCACTAATTGCTACTTTTCAAAAACTACAAAAAGTGTGAATTTAAAATTTAGAATAGTGCAGGTTCCTCTAATGCTGTAGATGTGCAATAATAGAAGGGATTTTAAAATATTTGTATACATAGAAAATAAAATTTTATAATTATATTTTTATAATCATACTTAATTTTATTAACTATAATTTTAGACCTGTACTTTATACTTGGTCAAGAAACGACCCAAATAACTATGAACAAAGTCAGTGCAGGTCACATTTAATGGAGTATTAGAGAAAAGGGGAAAAATCAACAGGCATTTAAATCATTTAATTTTTCAAAGGTAACAGTTACTGTGCAGGATCAGCTAATTAATGAATTTTAGAAAATATATAAAATGTATACCTAATATATTTTATTAATAAAATTTTGCCTTCTTGAAAAAAAATTGGGTAGGTACTTGAGTAACGCTCTGCTGTACAATAGGTGTTTAGAGAGTCACTGTAATGAAGGTGTTAAATTTAAATTCAATGATATAAAATCATTGGATACGAAAAATGATTCTGAGTGAAGAGTCTGTCAGCTTAAAATTTTACTAGGTAGGTATGTTTTATGATATTATGGTGATTAAAGCTATTTTTTTTTACTATTATTGACATTAATAGTTAATACCACAGTAGGCTAAATTCATTTTTTCCAAAAAAATTACATTTTAAAATTTCATTGTGTGTATACGTATACTGCAATATAATAATATACTTTAAAAAACTGAAGTATACCCACGTATAATATTTTTTAATGACAATAAAATAACTAAAATCGTTATCCTTGATTTTAATATGCAATTTCATCCAATTTGAACTTAAAATGTCTGTAAAAAATAACTGTGTTTATATATTTTTTGGTTACCTACAGTATTTATGAGAATCCTTGTTTTAAACTTTCAATCCGTTACTAAAATATTTTTTTAACTACAATAAATTTAAACATTTTCGAGATTTTGATAAATGTTGTCAAAATTTGAACTTAAAATATTTTTGAAAAAATCGTATCTATGGATCTTTAATATATTTTACCGACTACATTTATAACAACTTAAGAGGAACCTTATATTCAATTCACAAGCTTTTTGACCCAACGAATACAATTTTATTGACAGGTATATTATATAAAAAATAAAAAATAATTTCAAATGTTTTTAAATAACTTAAAACGAAAATATTTTGAACATTTAATCATGTTTAGAAAATGATAAAATTAACATTTGATGAAAATGTCAAGTACCTAGGTACCTATAATTATAAGCTTTTGAATAATAACGAAATAAGGATGTATAATAAAATTATAGAAAACATACAATATTAGAAGTAGAATATTATGGACCATACATTACATTAATAAAGATCTTCATTATCTATGGATCTATGGTGGAGGTGGTTATGGATCTTATACCACTAAATAGATAAGAACTGTGTAGAACTTGTGTCTTAGATCATAAACTACTACTATTATTAGTACTATTAGTACTACTTGTATATTATAATCTAAGACAATAGCATTACGAGCCGCGTAACAACCACATTTCGCAGTGATGTTACTATCCTTATGAAAAATACAATAACCATACTACGAGTATAATATATAAATACCTTATGTCGGGTTGCATGGACAATCACTAAATAAGTTATTTAGCCATGCACTAAACATTTAACGAATCCATAATAGTGAGCTAATGATCCTTTAAACATGATTTAGTGGCCCATAATTGGTCCATTAAATTTTATTGGACCGTTAAATTAATACATTTTTCATGCAACCAGGCATTACTGAGTTAGTATCTTACCCTGCTACCCCGCGCTACAATGATTCGTACGGGTATAATCGAGTAATCATAGAGCGCCCTCTATGTGACTATGTTGTTTAGCTTTCCATACACTCATAGCTTGTCTAGTAGATAATGAATATTTTGGAAGATGTGCCCCCTCTCGTGTTCCACCGCAGTGTTACCACAGAATATAATATTAATTATAATATAATATTCTGTGGTGTTACCAGGGAGAAATTTGATAAATTTCTATCTTATCTACAAAAAGTTTCAACTTATATCATTAAACGAATAATAAATAGTAAATACTAAAATGAAAACAACAATATTTAATATTTGTACTCTCAATTTTTAATCTGTATTCTGTATAATACAATAACACTATAATAATATACTTAATTTCTCAAGTAATAAATGAGCTCTATTAATATACAAAATAAAAATTATATTTTATTATGTTCAAAAAATAGGTAGAGGAAGTAATCTTTTTTCCAAATCAACGTAGTTTATATGCTATGAAAATGTATATTCTTTTTCAAGAATATCTAGTTCATTATTATTTTTCTGTAATTTGAATTTGAAAAACTGTTGTATTACTGAGTCATCAATTCTTATTTATGTGTAATTATTAACTTCTGGTGGATCAATTTAGCTGGAAATAAAGTAAGCATTTTTTGTTTTGATTGTTTAGAATCACACAAAATAATCACTGTGTCCATATGCCTGACCATGGTCAGTACCATAATTTACACACAACTATTGCCAAACTTACTTCTGGAATCTTAAAACAATTAACCTACAAATAATAATATAGTAATAATTTGTAATATTAACACCTTGAATAATGTGATGTAATTCAAACATAAATAATGTATAACCTGTATGATACATTTTATCAAAAAAATCCAAACAATAATGTACTTAATAAAAACTTTTTAATTAGATTCAGTTGCATATATCTAAGTAAACATGGATCCTGCTTTGTTGAGAGAAAGAGAATTATTCAAACTTAAAGCTTCAGCTATTCCTGTGTAAGTGCATTACTATATCATGTTATGTTATTCAAATAATAATTTTACAGTAACTATAAACTGATTACATTGTGTTTCCATTGTAGAGTTGAAAAAAGGTTAAGAGAAGACAATAGCAACAAAGATGAGTTTAAAAGGAAATCAAAACCATTACCATCTATGCCAAGGCCACCTTCGCCCCCAAATACTTCTAGTTCATTGAAGTATGAACTGTTTCATATAGATTTATTCAACGTAATTTTAATAACTTAAACTTTTATTTAACACTATAGTAGCTACAAGTCGTATGGGCAAAGTTCTCAGTATAAATTTGGTGTTCTCACTAAAATAGTTAAGTATATTAGAGCTCGACATCAGGATGGAGATGATCATCCGTTAACATTAGATGAATTGTTGGATGAAACTAATCAATTAGATGTGGGAGCTAAAGTTAAAACGGTACTTATGTTATTGATTTATTATATATTCATATCAAAAATTAAAAATCAAATTTATATCATAATTTTTATGTTTATTATTATTATTATCAAGTGGTTAGAAACTGAAGCACTACCAGGAAATCCAAAAATTGAACGTACACCAGATGGAAAATATATGTTCAAGCCTCCTTATAAACTTAAAGACAGAAAAGCTCTGTTGAAGTTATTAAAACAACAAGATTTGAAAGGTTTAGGAGGAATTATGATGGACGATATTCAAGAATCATTACCTAACTGTGAAAAAGCTCTTAAGGTAAAAACTAGAAATGAATTATAAAAATTCTGTTGTACATTTTATTTATAAAAAATATTTCACTATTAATATATTATACTTATTTTTACAACAGCATTTACAAAATGAAATATTATATGTTTGTCGGCCCGGGGATAAAAAAAAAGTCATGTTTTACAACGACAAATCTGCAACTATTGATATTAATGAAGATTTTAAAAAAATGTGGAGGAGTATTGCAGTGGAAAATATGGATGATGAAAAGATAGAGGAACATTTGGAGAAACAGGTATGTTTACTACAAAACCAATATTTTAAAACAAAATACTGATGTTATACATAAAATATTATTTAGGGTATAAGTTCGATGCAAGATAATGGTATCAAAAAAGTAAATCATGTAAAACGGAAAAAACCAGTGACAAAGAAAAGATTCTCTAAGAGACCAAGGGATAATGAACATTTAAAAAATGTGTTGGAAGATTATGATACATTGTAATCCTTTATTTAAGTATGATTATTATTTTTTTTGTTGTACATTAATAAAAAAAAATTGTATATTAATTACTATTTGTCATAAAGTGCTCAATTATATTATCAATACTTAAAACAGCTTTTAGTCGTCGAGGTACTGTTCCTAAACTCACTAGTTTATCAGGTCTTTCAGCTTCTTCAATTTTGGTTAGACTAAATAATTCCTAGAAAAA